CCATTATCGCGATTTCAATCAAAATTGCTAAATCTGAGATTTACTTGATAAAAATTGATACGGTTCGATATAACAAAATTTTTAGAATAATATTTCAACATATTAACAATAAAATTTTCTTTTTTTTTTAATAATAGATAATAACAATTGTAGTACATAGACTTTGGAATCAATTGCTTTCTATTGATACTAATTTCAAAACATAATTTCAAATATTTTATCATTGCAATTTTTCTTTTTGATTAAAATGTCAAAAGATTTAAAAGTGAAAATGAAAGATGATAGTCGAGTTTCAGATATATGTTCTAATTTCATTAATTAAATTTGAAATTAGAATCCTTGTAGTAATTTTAATAATTCTGTTCTATAACGAAAAAAATATCTAAGGTTTAGATACGGAAAGAATAATATTACTATTTATTTTAAGGGTCCACTGTAAGGCCAAATAAGGTCTATCGTCGTCCCAAAAATATTGCTCGAGATGGTGTTTTACTAAGGCCCAAAACTTAAAAAACACAAAAAAATTAACTTTACTCTTTTGAGATCCTTATCAGATATGCATCAATTTGATGCAGTATCGCAGTTCAAATCTGATTTTTTAATGTAGATGTACTCTAACATCCTTTAAAAAATGCAAAATGATATTAATTAAGCTTTTCATTTCTGTATCATACACGAAACAAAATCGTTCATTTATACTAAAATTTATCAAAGTTTGATTAATGAAAAAATACTAAATTTTTACATTGAGTCGGCTATTAATATGGTTAATATTAAATCTTGTAAAAATTGGCATTATCCAGAATAATACCCACTAAAATACACAATTTTTTTTAAAAAATTTTTATCAATTGTTATGGTATATCTTTATGATAATGAATAAAATGCTTATTTTTCATAAGTAAATACATAATTTATGCTTAAACACAAAAAATAACACGAAAATTTTTGGCCAACATATCTAAACTAAGGATAATGGTTTGAATATATAAAATAATACTTTGTCCAGGGAATTAAATTTGTGCTATCCAATTGTCAATTCTTTGAATTTTTTTTAAATGCAAGATATCCGGCATTAGCCTCAATAAATATATATATTATGCATCATAATATTAGTTTGTAATGGCATTAAAGCGAAATTCCTAATTTCTTCTCAATTAAATTCCTTGAAAAACATTGGAATTAATGATTGGAAATAGGTCAAAAAAATTCCTAATATAAAACTTATACTTAAGATAAAATTAAAATTCGAAAATATCTATTTTTCAAAACACGCATCCAAAAGCGAAAAAATTCGAAAAAATCATGTTCTTATAAAACTCACTGATTTTGCAATTTTTATGAGATTTGAAGTGATAGAATATATTACCATCTTATTGAAACATATACTTCATTGTTGTATTCACATAATATTAATCAGAACACTAGGAAAAGTGGATTTTCGAAAAATGACGATAACGATTATTTGCAAATCGCCTCTCAATTTTGAGAGACTTTCAATTTTTACAGTGGACCCTTAACGAACAATAAAAATTAGGCAGCTGAATAACTCTCTAATGTAAATATTGATTCCCTATGATTACTAGCTTCTTTGAGAGGCCAGTTAACATTCTTATAGGTTGTGGCATGGTCAATTGAGGATAAGATTGAAAAAAGTGATGTTTGCTTTTGGGTATTTGTAGTATTATATGGCTGTAACCTGAGTAAAGATTTTTCACTTTCAACAATTATAAGGTCATCATCACTCTCCATTATTTTGTTGAATGATTTTCATACTCAAAAATTGAATTCTTTAACCGATGGTTAAGGACAAATTCCCAAATTACAACAAAATATTCAGAATACTTATTCTCAGTCATTATTTTTATCTGTCATATATACCGAGCTGTAGGATTTTCAGAGGTACTCAGAATTTCGAAAAAATAGAATCAATTTTCTTTGAATCATTTTTTCAGTTTTTGACAATGAAACTTTTGAGATACTTATCAGAAGTATTACCAACGAGCAGTCACATCAATGAATTTAAAATTTTATTTTCCAAATAATCTTTCCATTGAAAAGTTCAAATTAATTTTTGCCTATCTTATAAAAGCATTATAATGAATATTCATTTTGATATTTGAGAGAAATAATTACAATTGTTATCCGTTGAATTCTCCAATAATTTTTTAAATTCAAACGAACTCACTTATTTAAACAGCGATAGCAACATGTTCAATAAAAATGCAATAAACACATTCCACATCAATGGAATATCAAGTTTAAATAATTTGGGGATCAATATTTTTATTTTTTCCAGTGAGATTTTGTTTTTTCGGCAGTTGTCGGGCTTTATTGAAACGAGAATTGCTTTATTTAGCCTTTTAGTATGTGTACTATGTTCGTATTCTCATAAATTTGACTTTTTATTTCATATGACAGATCGAAAACCCGGCAAAGATACAATCAGGCTTTAATCTTTTAGATTTTTATTAAGTATTATTAGAATATTATATTAACACTAACAATAGGAGTTTGTTAACCAAGATTTCGAAAGATCAATCCAAGAAATTCATTATTTGATATTTTAATCATATTGTCATACCATAACATACCATGTTTCATAATAATTAATTCCTCAATATCAGTTCGTAAATAAAATGATCGTCTTAATAGTTCAAATGATTCACAATTTATTTGATTGATTTACAATCTCTCAAAATATTCAATCATTTCACACATATTTTTGCCAAATGAATAAATCAGCCGAGCGTATATAACTCATGTATGCAATACATGTTTCACTGGAAAAAGATCTTAAAATCATTTTTTGCTTGATATTGTTGTTTATTTTATGTTTTGACTGAGCTTTTTTGGGTGAATTATCATTGGGATGTTGTGGATCAATCTATTTTAAATACATTTCATTTCAGAAATTGAAAAGATATGCAACTCTAGATTCTTGAAAAACACATTCATGGGAAATCACGATGTTTGGGAAGTTTTTGGATTCTTAATCAAGAGATTAATGGTATTTCTTCATCCAAATAATGGTGCTAAAAAAGTTTAGCAAGAAGAAGATCATTAGAATGGTACAGTATCCATTCATGTAGTATTGAAAAACTAATAATGGATGCAATGGATCCGATTTGTTTTATTTTTCGTGTGAAAGTATGAACAAGTTACCCATATATCATTTTTGAAGGTTTTAGACAAATGATTAAGTCAGGAGTTTAATTCATCATGTCTTAAAAGAATGAAAGACATCAATAGAAAAGATGATCATCTGAAATAGAAGTTCATCTCAAATAAATCTTAGGATCTAGTTTTACCTTGAAGCAGGCTTCATCAGGATGAATAAATAAACACTCACCTTGATACAAGGAGAATAAGTTTAATTTGTTTCATATTTTGGGATCTTTTGAGATTACAGCTCCGATATCGCAATATAAAATAATTAATTAAAGAAAATATCATTTAGTAAACATAAAAGTCCTTTTAATATACAATATTCATTGCAAATAAACGCATATGTGATCATCCTATAAAACAATCATCGGAAATTCCAATCTATCATGCATTTTTGTCTTATAAAACATTATATTTCATTAATATTTCATGTGTACAAGTCATTTATTGTAAATATTGTCTCATAACAATGAATATCCATTGAATTCTGAGAAGATTTCAAAAATATATCAAATATATGGAAATATCTTTCTTTATTAAATCAAAGATAAAATTTAATCAGTTTGCAATCAGATCGTAAAAAAATTTCATGGATTTTCAAAATTCAGTTCTCAAGAGACTGAGTTTTATCCAATTATGTCTAAAATGTAATAGACTTACCAAACACACATCTTTTTCAACAACAATAAGAATGAAATGGAGTTGTTATTTGAGATATCAGGAGATAACTCCTCAATCGTTGTACTATAGTATTTCATACAATTGTATTTGAATAGGAAATAAAAATTGTTAATACAACATTCAAATATAGAATGAATTAAAGAGATTCTTTAAGATTCTAAAGGAGAACAATGAAAAGTAGATTTCAAAACAATGAAATTTATATCACAGAACAGAAAATTCATATTAGGAAAAAGATTTCTCAGAATGAGGTAAGATATTTGCAAGTTTTGCAAAATTATTCAGGCCAAAGGCTAGTTTTATAATAATCGACTTAAAATCATATGAGATTCATTATAGAGCATCGTTGATCAATACAGAAACAAACTTACGTTCTTCTCTGAAATAAACAATTTCGTCTCCATCCTTTGATATCTTAGAATCCTGTCTCTGCTATACAACATAGATTAATTTTGGTAGAAACTTCGTGTCTTCTTCATAATATCTGTATTAATTGTGTTTGACTGAAAAATCAATATAAAGGAAAATATTGCATTTCTTTTCAGACATATTGGAGCTAAGACTGGCATATTATAGCTTTAGTACCTCCATATATGAGCAATATCAGGTTTTGATGTTGCAATATTAAATTAAACTAGATTACATATAGATCAAATATACTCTTATATTCTGTCCTTCTTGGATACATTTCCATTATATGCAATCTGCAAAAGAATAATTTTCTTCTATTTGATGAAGAAATCCGAAGTCGAGCTTCAAAAGCGGGGAATTATAAAATGTCGTGACTCATCATGCTAAATCATAGAATCTTGTCTGTGGTTGTGATGAAATAGCAATATTTTGAGTGATTTCATTGAACAATTTAATTTTTATAGAAGATCAAGTGATTCAACATTCATTTCAGATATAGAATGTAGATGATGAATAAAAAATCTAATCCAAAACAGCTTTAGCCTCAAAATTAATTTAGAATTTAGAAAAAGTTGGAATAATGATGATACGAATCAATATTACGCAACTCGTGCTTGAGATTAAAATAAATCAAATGTTATTATTTCTTAAAAGCGATCATTTGGATCCCGGTTCACCTTATTTTATTTTTTTTTTCTCCCCAAAATAAAAACTTCAATAAATTTTTTTTCGAGAATTTTATGGAATCCAATCAACCAAAACCAGGAACATATCAATATTACATCAATATGGTCCGAAGGAGTATGGGTGATATGGATTCCAACATATACATGACTTCTGTTCGATCTTTCAAAAAATTTTATGAAAAACAGTTCACTCAAAGCGAAAATTCGGGGAACGGTCGATACAAAATTGATGAGGCACTATCAGAAATATCAATTAAACAATTAAACAATCCTCCATTAACTTTAATTCTCGAAAATATTATCTGTCAAGTCAAAGACCACGAAAAACAATACAAAGCTTATAAAATATGTCAAGACTTACAAAATATACCACCCGACAAGAACGCCTTAACATGGGATCTTTTCCAAAAAATTTTAAATTGGGCATCTATACCTTTGAAAGATTCTTTCGCTAAGATAATTGAAGATTTCGTATCTAAATGCATTTCATGGCTAAATAGCGCTGATGGTAATCAGAAATATTCAGGATTTCGAATTTTTAATACAATATCAAAGTATTTTCCAGAATTCCTTGAGAAAGACAACACTTATTATCGCAGATTAATCGCTAGTTATTTTAAGACAACCGAATCCGAATATTATCCCCTTGCTTTACAAAGTTTGAAACGTTTAATGGATTATGATTTCGACATACATAAGGAAATCATCCAATTCCTATGCAAACCATTCAAATCTGGCAAGACAGAACAATTTCCAGGCGTTTGCATGGCTCTTTGGATGATTCTTCAGAGATATCGAGAAGATATTTCATATTTCTCAATAAATACGCTTCCTTCAGATACTCTTTTTGGCAAGGATATTACAGCGAAGATATCTACGCTATATACTCTCCCTATTTTGGTAATTGTTTCGCCAGATTTGTTTAACAACGAAATTAACAGTAATATCATCAAAACATTCGCACATTTATTCAAGAAAAAGGATCTTATAACAAATGACACAATATACAACTTCTCTTGCTTCATTTTCCATGCAAAAATTTTGAAAAATGACGAAATTTTAATGAATATCAAAAAATGCAGAAAAGAAATCCTGGAGTACCCTGATAGCCCAGAGACATCATCTGCGCTTCTTGCTTGCGATATTTTCTTACAAGATTTGATCGAATCTGATATCCCAAAAATTTACAGCCAAGTTCACTCATTAATCTTGTCGTACTCCCTCAAAAACTTCTTAAACGCATGCCCGTCATACAGCGAAAGCGTAATTCGAAATGTTATCACTTATTCAAACAAAATTCTTTTAAAATTTTCAACTCCTGCAAAAAAAACCGTCGGAATTTTCAATTTTCTGATCGACCTCAACATTCCTTCGAAAAAAATTTTACCGGATTTAATATTACAGTATTCCGACCATTTAAGTGCTCATTCGAGGCTGGTTCGTAGGGCTTGCTACATGTACATACTCAAATACAACAAAGAAAACCCTTCTACTGAAATTTTGGAAAGAATTTTTTCGAGTATTGTGTTGGAACAAGACAGGGAGATCAGATTAGATGCATTATCGAGTGTAACTTTTAAAAGCTTCGACGATACAATCATTCCGGCCCTCCAACAACTGTTAATTGACAACGATGAAGAAATTCGACAAAAATCTTTCGAAATTATCATAAAATTAGCAAGTTATCAGACGATACCGCCAATAATATCATCAGTACTAACAGATCGAATCAATTCTTTACAAAATTCTTCAGAAAATTTCCGAGAAAATATATTATTTTTTAATATGATCGCGAATGCAGCTTTTTGTGATCCACCACATTCATTCTCTGACAACTGCAGTCAAATTTTCATTCCTTTTTCTCAAAAATTAATTCAAATTTTATTTTCTATAAAGAATCGACTTGATTCCACTTCCATTCACTTGCTTTCACATGTAATAACAATTTCATCCGACGAAATCAATATAGAAACGCTTGTAAAAATAATTGAAGATTCATTATTGACAAATTCATCGACATCTCGACTTAATTCCACTCTAGAACTCATGTATGCGGCAATTAAGTATACTTCCCTTAAGACAAACCTACAAGAAACATATCCAACCTTAATTGAAAAATTTAATGCGGTGAAACACATGACAAAGCCAAATTACGACACCCAAATTCTTTTAAAAGTATCAAACCTCATAGACAAACCAAAGATGGCCGGCCAAAATGCTGAGAACGAAAAATCAGATATTATATCGAGCGAAGATTCGAAATTACCGAAAGAAGAGATAGAAAAGCTTGTTACATTAGTTCCCAGGAGCCAAAACACCATTTTCATGATCTTTAAAATGGATTTTCGCATAAATAAGAGAAGATTAATGCACGGAATCTGTATTTTGACCGAACACCTTATATTAGTTGTCCGCAAAGCCTATGTTACAGGCAGCTACACGGTTTTCGAGCAGTTCTTTATCATGCAGATCAAAAAAATCAAAATTTCTCATGACCAAAAAGTGACACTTGTTTTTCCGGAATCCAGATTATCAATTATGACTAATTATTCTAACAGATTTGTAGAGATACTATCAAGGAATTATCTCCTTTGTACATGCAACATACCTTCTGTTCTTAAATGCAAAGTTTCGATGCCGGAAGGATTTGATTTGCCACATTTTCGTCCTGTTCTCTCTGTATCACAGAAATTCCAGTTCTCGTATACAAGTTATTGCACTGTCCTCAAAACCCACTACAATCACGATCTCGTGAAGTTTTTTCACAAAATAATTTGTGAAGGAAACGTTTTTGTAAATTTTTCTGAATTACCATTCCAAGACATCGATGTTTTCTTCGGGAATCCCGTCAATCTCGAGCCCGTTCTCAAGGCCATGACGTACGCACCACTTATTTACGGCCACATAATACAAGACGTTTCAAGACCAGACTTTTTGAAGTTGATAAGTCCAGTCATTGCTAAAAACAAATCCATGAAATTATTGCAATGTTCAAACTGTTCAATACGCGAAGGAATACACGAACTCACTGAAGCGATGTTAAGTAATGATAGTTTGAACATTGTTTTCTACGATTTGTCAAATAATCCATTGCAAGAATTATATAAATTGGCCTATGCCTTCTCAAAAATCAAAAATCCACTGTTGTATTTGAATTTGAGTGACACGGGCATGGACCAAACAGAGACAGTTAATTTCATGAAAGCATTGTCAGTCAACAAATACTTGCATGAGATCAGATATTTTCTGATCAAACACTGCAAAGTAAATGAAGATGGACTGAAATATTTCATGAATTACCTCCAGAAAATGAGGAATCTTCAAATGAACGTGTTAAGATGTTTGGATATCGGATCAATAATAAGTGGATCTGGTTTGTTGTTTAATGCTTTAGTTGATTTCCCACAACCAATTGAGTTCTTGAGTTTGGAAGGTTCAAAAATAACTAAAAAAGATTTGCCTTCTTTACTGAATTACTTGAAAACAACGGAACTCCTCCAGGAAATCAATTTAAGCGATACAAACTTAAGTATAGAATGGTGCGGACAAATAATCGCTGCTATTGAAGATAACGAAAAATTGTCAGGTTTCAATTTACTTTTGAATAATAACGGAATCGGAAAGAATTTTGGAAAATTTGTGAAGTTGTTTAAATCGAACAGACTCATCAAATGGAATGGTTTGTCATTGGAACACAATGATATATCAACAACAGATTTCGTCGATTCTCTTGATTGGTTTGAAAATTTGACAAATTTGAGAGAATTCAACATCGGCGGAAATTTCCACAAAACTTCTTCAAAACTACAAGAAGCTTTGGAAATGCTGTTCAACAAACAAACATTGTTCCATATAGGTATATCCGGAACATCTAAAAAACACATCGGATTAAATGGAGCGCAAATAATTGCGAATTTAATGGAAAATAATTATAACATTGTTGAACTGGACATTTCAAATAACCATATACATGGAGAAGGATTGGCAAAGATGGCTAAGATGCTTCAGAAAAATGAGATAATATTGGATCTCCAATTGGATGGACAATCACCAAAAACAATCGATTCTTATACAAAAATTTACGAAATTTTGTCAAAACATCCTTCGATAAATACTTGTCCATGGCCTAGAAATGATGTTGATTCATTGTTTAGTAATCTTAAGACGCAGCAGAGAATGACAATGATAAGAGATTTGGCAGCACAATACTCTTTGGCCATGAAAAGAATGAAACAAAACCAAGCAGAAAGAGGTTTACATTCTCATCTTTCAAAATTACAGATAACAGAAGTTGATGAAATGATCGATAACTTGACGATTTCGATGCACCAGTCGATGCTCAATTTAAGAACAAGATGCCACTCAACTATATCAGAGTTCTTCCACTATCCTTACCCATTCGAAGACATGAAACATGAGAAATTCAATAGAGAAGTGAACTCAGAAATATACGACCAATTATTTAGTAAACCATTCAAAACAATTGAAGAGCCGATTGAAGGCGAAAAAGGACAACTTTCCACGCTCCAATTCAACTCTTTATGCCTCAGAAGACCGGGTGTTGAAGAGATGAGGAAGCAGCAGCAACAGATGATGCAACAGAATATGATGAACTTACAAAAGGCAAATGAAATTAAAAGAGAAATAGCTACTGCTCCATCGGCTCCAATTAATCACAATAAATTCAATGTGCCTTCTCAATTTGAATTTCAACCGATCACTGACCACTGGAAGATTGATGATAAATTTAAGAACAAGAGCAAAGATACTTCATGTGCGGAACTTGACGAAACAAGAGAGAAAATTAAAACAAAAGATATGGAAAAGACAGATGACATGACTTTCACAAATATTAACAAAAAGCATAAGGAACAGGAATATACAGAGTATGATGCTTATGATGACGAAGAAGATTATTATGAATATACGGAATAATATTATGTTATTTATTTTTTTATTTATGTTTTTTAAATATATTTACTATTTTGTGTTTGATTTAATTAATTTTGCATTATTTTTCTTTCATTCTTTCTTTTCATGTTTTAGAGGCATACGGACTATCACTGAATGTACAATCAAAATGACAATATTTTTTCCCCACTTCAACTCATACACTTTCAATTTAAATTGAGACTACTTCACTGAAAAAAAAAATGAATTGATAGCGAAATTTGTGATAATGAATTAGATTGTGTAGGATTCTTTGCGTTTATGGCACAATACACACTATTTTCATTATGAGTGCACCATACTGTGCTGATTCTATTTTCCAGAGCCGATATAATGACTTGCACCAATAAAAAAAAGTGGATTTTTTTTTCATGGTGCAAATATCGAAATTGTGCAATGAATTAAAGCGTGCACATGTTATTACGGAATGTGGTACATTGCGTATCAATATTAATGATCGAGTCATCAACACAAAGAAGTCTTCAGCGATTTGTTTTTCAGAATTAATCAAAGAAAAATATTATATTGATAAATCAATCACATCATTGAACACACATCTAGATATTACATGTCAAGATTCAATTGATATACTTTCAAACTTTATTGAAACAAGAAAACTTGAATTTGAAGCAGATGAAGCACATTATCATGACATATTCGAAATCGGCAAATATTTTGGAAATCAACTACTCATACAAATATATGCTAAACATGTTAAATCAGACAAATCTCTCACAAATGAAAACGTTTTTAGGAAGTACGAAATTTCTGCATACGAAAACGATTCTACGACAATGAATGAATGCATTGAGCACATCTCATCACATTTCTACAGTCTGAAAGATGATGATATCATTACAAATTTTGTGAAAAATGGATTTGAATTTTGTGAAAAAATTTTGAAGTCAAAAGAACTGAAAATAGAAAATGAAGACAAACTATGTTTGTTACTTTTAGATACTTGCAGAAGAGACAGTACATTATTTGATTTATTTGGTTATGTTAAGGGTGCACACGAGAGGATCATGTAAACTTCAGAATTTAGAACCTTATTTTTAGGCATTATCTTGGCTACCTATTTAGGCTCGAAAAGCAAAAAATATCAAAAAATACAACTTGACTCCATTATGACCCTTTCATGGAGGTAGTTTTTATCCGCTAGTATTTTCCCTTTGAATCTCTTTACAATTCGAAATCAAATTCAAAACTCAGTAGAAGAAAGGAAGAATCGACTTACTACGGTTGTAATACGAATAAATACATATATTTAATTATTTTTATTTACATAATAATTGTTTGAAGCTCATATTCCATCAAATTTTTAAATAAAAACATTAAAATGTTGAAAATGTTCATATATTTTAATAGGGTTTTGGCACTTTATTGAGGAATTACTACATACATAGTCGAACTGAACTTGATATTTTGAAATTTAAATTATTTATCAAAATTAAAATTTAACTTGAAATTTATAATTATTTAGTCATATTTTGCATAATTCTAAGTAGATTTTGTAAAAAATCAAGAAAGAAAAATTTTAACGTGCTTTATTTTTTCTTTTTTATAATAATACATATTATTATATAATTAACATATTCATAATGTTTCACCCTTTCAAAAATATAATCCTCCTCCTCTCAAATAAACGTACATACGGGTGGCCTCTTTTTTTCAAAAAATCAAAATTTGAAATTTTGGGCTCAAATATTAGAGATTTTTTCAACCTTCAACGATATATGTTGTCTATATCAGACCTCCTTTCTTTTTGATACTTAACATTGTTCCTAAATCTTAGCCGTTAAGGCTGTTCTGAAAATATTTTTTTTTTCGAAAAAATTCGAAAAAAATTCTTAAAATTCAAAAATCCCTTAATTCCTGAGGATTTTGGGAAAAAGTTTTTACATGAACATGTGTATATTATATGAAGTATATTGATAAGGTAAAAATCAAATTTTATTGCATATTCATCGAGAAAATAAACTAACGAATCCCTCAAAATTGAGAGGGTAATCCTCCTCCTCTCAAATAAACGTACATACGGGTGCACCCTTAATTTACAATTTTGTTCTTCAGAAGTTTATGACGAGATTTATAATTTTTCAGTTGAAAACTCTTATGAATCAAGTCTTTTAACTATTTATAATGAAACATTGAAACATTATCAGTCAAAATTAAGAAATAAATTTGAAATTTCAAATCAAACTATTGCATCTTTCGAAAAACATTTGATTCGAAATCAATTTCAAATATCAAATCATAGTTTTAGTTTTGTTGATCCAAAAATTGTAGAAAAAGTTTCAAAAGAAATTAAAATGGAAATGACTGCTTCATCTGCTGGTGGAAATTTATCCAATATAAATTCATATTCAGATAATGCTAATTTCTATACAAAGAGTGAACCTAATTCATGGGTAAAAGCTGATCTAAAGGGATATAAATTAAAACCAAAATCATATATTCTACGATCATCATATGGTTTTTCTTGTAGTTTATTGAGAAGATGGATGCTAGAAGGTATCAAAGAAGATGGAACATCTATTGTATTAGATAATCAATACTATGAATTTCAACTCAATGAAATCAAGGAATTTCCACTTCAAACTAATGATTATTTTGTTGCTTTCAAAATAACACAAACAGGAAAGGATTCAAAGAATCGGGACTATTTGAGTATTACTGTTTTTGACTTCAAAGGAGAATTAATAAAATTTTAACCATTTTTTCGTGCAATCATTAATAAACATATCATTTTTCTTTTGTTGTTCTTAAATTGACCCATTTACATATTAATCTTAACACTATGAACAAGATATCAAGAAATTTATACCTGTTTCTACTTTGAATTGAAAATAATCGTCAATAATAATGGAGTGTTTTCCTAAAATTGAAAAGATCATTACAAGTGGTCATGAGAACATTTATGAGGAAATATACTCCACTGATGAGTTTAAAGCTAAACCATCGGGTGTAATTGCTTACATTATAAGTAAAAATGCTACACAGAACGATATAAAAGCTATATCAGAATTTTTCGAATATATTGTTGATAATCAACCATCGAACATTGATACATTTTTAGTTTTTTGGCTTAGAATTTCAAATTCAGAAAATATCGAATCTTTAGTCGAAACATTAGAAAGAAAATCAGAAGCACTTTCAAATTTCCAAAATTTATCAGCTTCTACATTCATTAGAATTATTGAAAAGATCGAAACATGTACTTTACCAGCGACCGATTTCGAATTTCCAGATAGTTTAACTTCTAAGCAATTAATAGACAATGAATCGAAACTGTTAAGATCTAAACGTTTATCCCTTCTTGCTGGAAGAATTTACATCGTCGCAGCAAGAATTTTCCCTCCATTTAAATTTTCAGGAAAAACAACACTTCAAACATCAGTTAGTGAAGGTGATTTACTATCTGCAAGTATAATGAAGATGGCTACAAAGGAATTTACTGAATTTGAATCAAAGCAAATTCTTGATTTCTTAGAAAAGCAACCAATTCCTCAGAATCATAAAACATTAGTTAGGCTACCACCACGACCTTCCTCGTGTGCAGAAAATATAGATTCAATGCATAATGGCTTAGATCTTTGTTTAATTTTAGCTCTTGAAGGATTAATACATTCCCATGATGCAGAAGAATACAAAAAATACGTACTTCAATTCTCCCAGGCCATGGACCTTCCTGGAGAAGATTTAATAAATATAGTTAACAGATCAGTCACAAATAAGGAAGATTCCCACTTTGAGTTTGGCAAAGAGCTCAGACAAGGCTTAGACATCAATGGAGAGTGCAATTGGGCCGAAATTCAAGAAGAACAATTTCTCCCTTCATTTGTTGTTCCAGAGGACAAACCATTGGTTGTTGAGAAGCCTCGTGTTGTAACTCCCGAATCCGCAATGGATGAAATCATTCAGTTCGCTGGAGAAGACAAATCAACTTGGTTTGTCGGTGATGAACTGAAAGAGTGGAGAGCAGCTCGTCTATGCGTAGCACATTTTATGGATAAGCTTAATCCTGATTCATTTGAAATGCTTGAATAAATTGTATTTATTTTTTTGTTTCAATTTTATATTTTTTATATTTCAGATTCAATGTATTTATTACTTTCCCCAAGAGCATTTCAAAAATCAATAAATCTTAAATTTATTTCAATCCTTGTAAATTATCCGAATCCGCCAAGTAATTTATGCTGCCGAATAAAACATGGATTCTTGATATAGTTATCAAGGATGGAGACTATATATGGAGCAGTAATGAAGTAGAAAATGGCATGTGGCTAGTTGTTTCATGTGATGGAGCACCACAGCCATTCAGCACAAATCAAGTAGCATTTTCAGATAAACCGCAGTGGGAGTTTCCATTTCGCCTATGTTTGGAGTTCCATGACATAGGAAAATCCTATTTATATTTTACATTATGCTCATTTCAATTAAATGGGCAAGGAATACGACCAGTTGCAAGATCAAGAATAGGCTTATATAGCATGCCAATAGGAAGTCCAAAGCAATTCTCTTTTCCTTTATATCATGCAATGAATTCAGCTTGCAAAGTTATAACTCTGAGAGTAATAGCTACTTTATCCGCAATTACTGCACCAACTTATCAGCCATTTGATGATTTTTTACTTTTACCTTCTTCTGGAAATTTCTCTATAGACAATTTCCCTACATTTACGTAGGAAATTATTTGATCATATTTTTTATATAAGAAACACAAAATTTTGCATATTATTTTTCAGAATTTAGCAAAATCAAGCAGCAATCATTATGCCCAAAAGTCTAATTCCGTTTTAATACCAATCCAAACACAATTAACTACAAAAAGATTAGAATTATTATTCATTTCCATTTGATCCAAAAGAAAACTTAGCCATTTACAATCATAAGATAACCATACTTACGTACAATCTTAATTTAAAAGTAACAAGATGATCGATGCATTACAAATAAAATTGCTAATATTGATCAGAAAAAATACGATTCAAAGCGAAATACGCAAATAATATTTGCCTACAAGTAGATCATGATGACATATACTAATGATATTGAATAACTTTCAATATTTGCTTCATTGTTTTAAAAAAAATTCAAAAAAATGCTCAGCAATTGACAAAATTTTGCTGATACAATAATCTAGAGCATGTGGATCGCACAAAATTACCTTGCTATTGCACTAAAAGTAAGAAAATTGTTTGTGAATTATCGAGCAACGCATAAATGTGTTTTATACGTGCCTGAAAGTTCACAGTTCATATCTCCCCAGTTTGCACCAATCCAGATATACCAAGAGAAGCATAACCTGTGCAGAAGGGATAATAATGAACGATTATTTTTATCGGCAATAAAAGTGTCGAGAGCACATCGAGAATCAAGACAGGTATGCAATCGATGAAATATAAACAATATGCAGAACAATGTATTTCATCCTGCAAAGCCAAAAATAGAATTTCATTATTAGAGAATAAAAATCTATCTATTTCCTATCTTTACATTTTGAGATATTTATTTCAAGCATGTGAATATCACATTTGTAAGTTAATTAATATCAGAAGTCGAAGAGAAATTAATTTGTTATCTCATTTTCCTGAATTGGTTTAAAGTTCATCAATTGCATCGATTTAATAGGAAACAGATGAATTTTCATCTAATATTAAGTTTTAAAATTCATATTTTCAATTATTATTTTCCGAGACAATTGATTTGGATTATATTATATTTATCATAGTGCACTATGATATTGGTATCAATTTGATCAAATAAAGTTTTTAATTTCATTTCAACATTAATTTCAGTATTTTTGCCAATAAATATACTTGGTAATTATTATATTAACAATTTAATGACAATCCTAACACTAAAATCCCTAATTTAGATTTATATGAGATCTCAATTAAAAAAAATGCGTTTATAACTGAAATTAATGGAGGTGTTTACTTCTGGAAGAGAAGTTTTGGTTCTGGTGGCTTCACTTTGTTTGCTGTCTTCTTTCTCCTTTCAATCATAGCCTGAAGAGCATCATCGGTTGGTTTTACGAGGCCTCCTGCAGGTGGTGAAGATGAGCCTCCAGCTTTTGGCGGGGGAGGTGCAAGGCCAGGACCAGGAGGAGGTGGCGGTGGCGGAGCACCGGCTCCAGGAGGCGGAGGTGGGGGCGGTGGTGGAGGAGGGGCATTTCCTGGGACCGGGGGCGGTGGAGGGATTCCAGCACCAGGTGCTGATGGTGGAGGGGGTGCTTCACCAGCATTGACAAGCGCTTCATCATCATATCCTGTTCTTGTGTTGGATGACGGCCTAATATTCTTCCTTGTCTCGACGATATTTTCTGACTCGAATGGATCCTTCATATCGACAGACTCGCCGAGATCAAAGTAGTTGAATGGTGTAGAGAAGAAATCCGGAATTTCTCCTTCTGGAGGAAGTGTCTTAATGAGATCTTCTGGACCTGCTGTATTGAGATCTATGCAAAACTCTTGGAGGTTGTTCATTTTAATGCCAACACCCGGTAAACAAACGTAAATAGAGCTATGTGGACGTGGTTTGATGAAGTCTGGGATTGAATTCTTTTCTACTTTTGGATATGGCTGAGTAAAACTTTGAAGACAGATTTCCAATTCATCTTGGCGGGCAATTTCAAAGCTATTTCTGACTTTGTCAACTTGTTCCCCAAGCTTTTGGACCATTTCGATACTTGTTGCAATATTTTCTTGGAAATCTTTGGAAGCTGTGATAATGTTACGTTGGAACACTGTCACAAACTCATGGATTGCATTGGTATATTCATCCATTGTCATCTGAGGATCTTTTAAGAATGCATTAACTGCATTCTCTGCATGTCTGTGCATCTCATCGCGCTGTTTAACAAATGGTGTGAAAATATTTTGAATATTGAACTCGTTACTGACTTTTCTGTAGCTCGACTCAAAGATCGGAAGTTTGACTCTGCCATCTGCTGTTTGCTCGACTTCATCTGTTTCTTGTGTTTGCCTTACTTTCTGTTTCTTTGGTTTTGGTGGAGGAACATATGCTTCTTTGGGTTCCTGCTCCGGTTCTTTTTCCTGAGGCTCTTCCTCTTCTTTGATTTCCTTTGGCGGGGAAACTTGTATGACAACTGGAGGACGTTCTTCCTTCTTCTTCTTTTCTTCAACTTCCCTTTGTATTGCACGCTCTTCTCTCTTCTTGATTTCTTCTTTAAGCTCATCATCTGAATAGTAGAATTCGTCTGAGTAATACTCAGAGTCCGAATGGAAAAGTACCTTCCTTCTTCCTTGAGCGTTTGTAAAGTATTCTTTCTTTGGCTTTACAGCGGGCTTTGTTTCTCTCTCAGGTGACTCCGGAGGGCGTATTGGTGGAGATGGAGGAATTGCTGGTGGAGGAGGGACATGGTTATTCGATTTTGGTGGTGGTATTGGTGGTTTTGCTGGTGGAGGAGCCAAAGGCTGGCTTGCTTGTGGAGGAGGAAGAGATGGTGGTGGGGCAGGTTGAGCTGGTGGTGGAGCTGCTGGTTGAGGTTTAGGAGCTGGCTCTGGAGCGGCAGGTGCAGGAGCAGGTTCTGGTGCTGGTTGTGGGGCTGGTTCAGGAGCTTTATTCTTGTTGAATCTTGCTTTAAGTAAAGAATTCAAATCCATTGGTCCTGCAGCTTTCTTTGGAGGTGGCTTTTCAGGAGGTGGATTTGCTGGCTTCTTTGCTGCGTTAGCTTTTCTCTTTGCGATCATTGCCTGCAACGCATCATCAGTTGGTTTAACCAATCCTCCTCCACCTCCATGATTTGGTGTGCCTGGAGGCGGTGGAGGTGGTGGTGCAGGGAGTGAAGGCGGTGGGGGTGGCGGAGGTACTGACATTTTAATATTTTTTTGTAAACTTAATTTTTCAATGGAGTCAACTCGACTTTTTGTGAGATAGATGTATGAAATCCCAATAAATTACCATTATTATTATCATTCAAATTATAATAAAGTTGGAACGTTACATAAAATATTTAATTTAGAAAATTGAATAGATTTTTCTTTCAATTTTTCTATTTCATTGAATAAAGAGCTCGTCGCAACTAAATTTCATAAACGTATGAAAACTTTCAACACACATTATCTATGTAGTTTGCCTTGATATATCAGCCTTCAAACAAAGACCTTTAAGATCTGATAAAATTATTCATTATTAAAAGCTTTTGATAGAGTACTATTCTGACTTTTATTTGGTATGCTTAGATTGAAATTCTAATCATGGATATGCATTGATCAAACTAGAATGAAATCTGAATAATATCTTTAAGAGAAAGAAAAATTCACTAAAAAGACTTAGTAACTATTAATATCTCAGTTTTCTATTGGAATTCTTCTGAATTAATCTGTCGATTATTGGCCAACATTATCAATGAATTAAGAACCATTAACAAATAGTTTTTTATCTAAAACTATTCATGGCAGCTTTTTATCGTAATTAGAATTCATTAATTATATAATTACAAAAATCTGAAAATGAGATTATGTGCTTTTCATGCACATTCTTCGAATACCTCTTGACAATCGGATAAAAATAATATTCATGCTTCATTTATGAATTAATCATATATGGCCAGCGATCTAGTGAATAATTCTCATTATTCCTTATGAATATTCCATATTCTAGTAAAAATACTATTGCTCTCATTACCTTTTGATTCATACAATTTCCTCAAAAGTAGAGAAGATTGGTATTGAAATCGAGGAAACAAATTGAAATATAAATTAAAAATGCAAACTACAAAATATAGTTTAAATAACAATATGAAATGCTAATATAGCATTTTTCTATTCAATAAATTCAATTTTACTCGAATCATTCAAAAAAAGAAATTGAATTGATTATGTTCGAACTGATTTGAATGGACAACAGCACGCCAGTACTTAAAATAGATATATCGTGATGGCAAAGTTGGTTAAAATAAAACTAATTTTTGGTACTAGGTATCGATATCTTATTTGGTTAGTGTAAATTTTTTCTATATTCAGATATCATTAATTATTTTTAAATATTTCTGGAGTTTTTAGATTGTATTTTGATAATGAATACATTTATTTTGTTATCGAAGCGTAAGCTCTGAAAATTTCCTTTCAATTTTTCAATAACTTTCTGAAATTTTCTAACAGGCTTCATTAAGGATGTCAATTCGGAAAATTGTTTTCGTTTTAGGAGAATATAATTTTCCATTTGGAAAATTTTAAAAGTGAGACGCGCAGGATTCGAACTTTTTTAAAAGTTGATTTAAATATATTCTAGTGTGGAATATAAGGATAATATCATATTTAAAATAAGAATATACGAGTTTAGGTAGTATTATTTTTTCGATAAATTTGAGAGTATGTACGTTTAGGGCATGAAAAGTGTCAATTCGCTCAGCGAAAGCTGAGCTAGCTTCGTTCTCGAAAAAATAGGGAAGAAGTGAAGGAGAGTGATACAGATGTTGACACATTCATATAATTTCAACAAATTTGATCAAATTGAAATTCAATAAAATTCAATTCACTTCATATCCTTCAGTCAGTACATTGACATCCTTCTACATCACAATGATAACTCGGGAATCAATAGTTCTACAACTAACTCAGAAAAAAAAACAAGATTTTTACTTCCAGCTTGCAGCTTTTAAAAAGTTTCGATGATAAAAATCACTCTACTCTCGTTTATCGACATATGGTGATAGTAGGTAAACATATTCTTATCGATATTAATAAAAATATTTGTACGAAAATCTTATCCAATTAGAGAGTTATTCATAAAGTATATGATAATTATAATTACTTTATCTTTGTTTTATCTTTGAATAAACAATTTAATTTAAATTGCATAATATTTTTTGGTTGAAAGACAGGAAACTTAGTTGAGTTTGTATTATTTTTATCGTTTAATTTATCGTATCAGTGAGTGATCCAGATATTTAAGATATTTAGAAAAAAATTATTAATTTGATTAACAAATTTTAATCAAAATAGCAAAAATATATTTGATAGCTGTAAACAAACAATAATTTTTATTTCAAGCAAAATCACTTATTTTCATCTAAACGTATAAAATTGTCAATTTTATAAAAATAAATTGAAAATCTCATGAAATGTAAAGGAGAGTAATATTTTTCAATTTTCTTTTTTCTTTGTCTCAAATATTTTCTGTTGGGAATTTTCTTGTTATCAAAAAATAATTTAATATTTGTTTATTTCATTACATACAATAAAATTTTAAAAACTCTATTTCTTCTCAAGAAAATTTTTCCTTCATATGAAGAAACATTTTGTTCTCCATTTGATACTGAGTCTAAATCTCGATTTTTGAATTTTCTTCTTTCCAAATTTCTTTTTTCCAAATTAGAAGTTTAATTCAAATTTTCAATAGTTTATATATTTTCTCAAACCGTCTCGGATTTTCTCACTTTTTAGGGATTTTCTCTCAAAATATACAAAAATAGTAATATCAATACATGTGTCTAATATACTTTAAACCATCATCGTGACAAAATTCAAAAACGAAGAGTTCTTCTCTCCAAATTTTTTTCAAAATCAAAAAAATGAGATAAAAAAGTACGTTTGGAAAATTCATTTTTAGAATTTTAGGAATTTTCTCACTTTTCTTCCAAATTGACATCCTTAGCTTCATATATAATAATTAATAAATTAAATTATAAAAATTCTTCAAAGTCTTTCAAATAATTTTTTTCTCAATGAATTTCATTTTTCAATTGCATTCATTTCAAAATAATCAAGTTAAAATCACGCAATTTGATATTGTAAATAATATCTTAAAATTCAATAAGATCCAATTTTTTCAAATTTTTCAGTCAAATTCAAACATTCAATACTCATACATTTGAAAGATTCTATCTATTCTATTTACCTATATCTAAATACTTGTTATTCATATAAATTAAATTCTTTATTGCTTTTTAAGCAATTTTGTGAATTTTCCTATTGATATTACCAATAAGTTTAAAATTAACTTATAAACAAATTCAATTCTTCGGATTGTAAAAAGTTTATTCAATTTATTCATTCAATCTATATTCAGATAACCAGAAAATGAAAGCAGGCGATTCGATTGCCTCCATCTTGCATTCCCGTTCTCAGTCTACAACAGGATCCAATGAACAAAGGCAAAAGATTGTATCCGCTCAATTCTCTGTAATGGACAAAATTTTCCCACTTCTCAATGAAATGCTTAAAACAGGCAAAGTTCCTGGTATTATTGAGCACTTCCTTGTGATACATATCTTCTTTCAAATCTTTGCGTTCTCTCTATGGCCCGCATTCACTTTCCTAAAGCTCACAGATAAAATCGATGACGTTATTGGCTTATGGATTTACAGAATTGCATTTCTCTCAGAGATCTCCCAGAAAGTTAGTTCGCTTACAGTCAGCTTAATTCTCTTTTCTATCCTTATTTTCTTATTTATTTTTTCATTTGGCTTAGAGCTGTTTATCTTTTTCAAGATACGCCGTTTCAACAAAATATTACTTCACTTTGCTAGAACATGCTTTGATGTTATCCCAATGCTCACCTTATTGCCAATAACGAGTTGGTTGGGTCTCTCTCTTAAGTACGCAATTAAGGATAAGACAACACCATACATTGTATACACTGCTATTTCCTTCATCTATTTCGTCATTGTTCTTTTCGCTCACCACGTCCAATCTTATTTCTCGGCTAGCTTGCCATACATTCCATCTTCCCATATAACATGCTGGTCTGGCGTATTCCACTTTGAATTCCTTGCAATACCAGCTTTCATCATGCTTGTCTCGTATATTGCCGATTTCTTTCCAAACTATTTCATGTTAATTGTGATGCTTGTGAAGATTGCCTACAATATATTCATGATTTACAACATTTATTTCTTCCCATTTTCTCATATCCAGATGAATGATTTCTTCTGCGCATTATTTATGGCAGTTAATGTTCTTGATGTCATCAAGATGCTCGATTTATTCAATTTCTCCATCAGATTTTGGATTTTACTTGTCGCATCTGTATCATCATTTTTTGTTTGCCTTATTATCTCAAAGTTGATCTTCAAATGGCGCATTGCGAAGATTTGCAGAATGCTTGACTTCGACATTCTTGATACGATCGAAATCGACGAATCAGATATAAGAGATCACGCAATTGACCTCACAGGAAACAATCTTGTTGATGAAAAGCTCAGACATCTTTACCATGGACTTGGATTAGATCGGTCATCAGTCAAATGCGAGATGTACTTCAGAATTGGCTTAGCAAACAGATGTAATTTGTTCTTGAACTGGTCATTGATAAAGTTCGCTGCAGAATACCACAAAACAGCACACATGTATACTATTATTACACAGTTCCTTTCATTCTATCCATGCGAAGCCAGATTTTTATCTTCATTCTTCAACCATACATGTACAATGCCACTGAATTTCACAGAAAGATTCTTAATGTTCCAAATTAACATTATTAAGCAACTCAGACAATCATCAGCTTCAAGAGAAGTTGCCGAATTATTAATGGCACTCAAAACAAAGGCAAATACAATAATTGATGATGTAAGAAAGTTTTGGATCACATGTCCTGATGAAATGAATGTATTCTATGATATCCAGATGAGAACTAAATATGTAAGAGAACTCTATTCCGAAGCAATGGAACATTATCCAAATAATGTCAAAATTTGCGAGAGTTATTCATCATTTTTAGTTGAAGGAGCCATGGATTTCAAAGAAGGCGTAAAGATGAGACACAGAGCAAATCTTCTTGAGCAAGGAAAGAACTTAGTTGTAGATTTCTCTTTCAGATCATTAGTTAGAGCTTATCCAGAATATCTCAAGAAGAATGTTATGAATGTTCAAGGCCAGTTCATTCAGAAAAGAACAGGAAACAACGACAGTGCAAATTCAACAAGTTTATCAAATAGTTCTAACAAGAATTCCAATATGTCATCAGGAACAATTGATGGTGTTTTGGATCCGGAAATTGAAGAAGTTGTTGCAAGAAACTGTTTCACTTATCACAGATTGAGATTAGAGTTCCAAAACTGTCTTGAAAACAGAAAGATCAAATATGACAAACATTTGCATGGTGCCATATTATGGTCTTTGTTTTGTGTTGTTTTATCTATTTTCTTCATTGCTTTTTATTACAACAGATACAATGAAAGATTACAAAGTATCCAAAGATTGATCAATATCGGAAGAACTAAATACAATTTAGACGCAAGTTTCTTATCATCAATCATGAAGATGCTTGCTGGTTTAGGTGCAATACAACCATCAATGATTGATCAAGTCAATGTAAGAAGTGGTTCACCATATGAAATCGATGTCAAAGATGGTGATGGAGAAGTTTCAAGATTCAGTGATTCAATGACGAATAACTTAAGTATTTATATGAATGATTTAATGGGTTTGGCACAGGATGGACGTGAAATAGAAGTAATCTTTACAGAGTTCGTTGATACTGTTGTTCCTATTTACCAATGCAATGGTATCAATTTGATGAAGAACTCTTACAATGAAACTCTCAAAGAATTATTCATCAGAATTGCAAAATATTTGAGTGGTTTACATACATCAACACCAGATGCTTTGGCAAATGATGATAGAGCATGTGAAACAATTGCAAATGTTCCTAATTCCAATACTTATTATAGATTGCTTTCATTTAGAATATTAAAGTTCTTGAAGACATTAGAAGTTGATGACAGATCATTAAACAAAATGTTAATGATTCTAATTCCATGTTTGTACGCTGTTTTAACCATTCCTCCTTTATATTTGTATCTAGCATTGTGTTTGAAGGAACTAAGAAGTGTTCATGGCTTATTAGTCAACTTGAATCAGCCAACAAGAGAAACAGCTTCGAAATCATTATCAAAAATTGACAGCGAAGAAATCACATTGAAAGATACAATGAAATCAAAAATTATGTTAACAAATTCATTGTATTTCTTTGCACTATTACCAGTAATTAATGCTGTCATGTTCCGTATTGTTCCTTTCGTCTGCATCAACCAAAACTCAATCTACAACAACTATAACTACTGGGCATTTTATTCATCAGCAAGATCAACAGATGCAATGCAGGCAGTTATTTGGTCTATATTTTCTGTTGGAATTGGAAAAGGATTCCCAGAAATGGCATTCAACAGATCAACATACGTTGAAGTTGCAAATACAGCATTACATGCTTTGATTGATGATAACAATAACTTGTTGAGAGGTGGCGAAAACAATCCAAGCTGCATCGGATTTACTGATGATATCGATAAATACAATATTCGTGCTTACTGTGTAACAGATAATTTTGATTCTGTTGATCACAGTGACTATATGTGTTCTAGTTTGGATTCAGTCATTACTTCTTTGTTTGCTTATTTGAATTTGGTTTTGCAAGATCCAGAAAATGCAACACTTGCAAAAGACACTGATATGGCAAACGCTTTCCATTTAACAAATACACATATTATCGAAAGAACATGGCAATCAACAGAAGCAATTAACTCATTAGCAAAGAAAGAATTGTCAAAGTTCAGAAGAAATATGTGTTTGATTTGTGTTGCTTGCATTGGTGTTTCTATCATCATTACTTTTGGTTTGTATTCAGCATTTGGAAGAATTGAGATTATGTACAAAGGAGAATTGCAACAATTAAGAAGAGTTGCTCCTTTGATGTTATCTCAATCTCAACCAATGATGAATTACATCACACATAAAGATGATCAAAAGAAAGTTGAAGACATGGCACCAACGAAATCTATTGTTTATCTTTCGAAAGACTCAGTTATCTTCTTGAACAAGAACTTAAACATTGAAACAATCAATACAGCAACAACAGATATCTTTGGTTACACACCAGATCAAATATTAGGTCAGCCATTTAACACAATTCTCAGTGAAGGCGCAAATGAAGAGTTTTACAAGACAGTTGAAATGATGAAGACAGGTCAATGCGCTTTAACTTACATGCATTCATTCCAAGGTGTAACTGATGATGACCAAGTATTACCTGTTCATGTGACATTGATTGGTATTCCTGATACAAATTCACATCTTCCTAAAGCATTTGTTGCAATATTAAGGAATGAATCAGAGTTAATTCGCCAAAGACAAGTTGCAGAGACAGCTAAAGCACAAAGTGAAAAATTATTGTATCAGATATTACCAAGAGATATTGTTGTAAGATTAAATAGAGGAGAAACAGATATTAACTTCACAGTTCCTTCGGCAACAATTATTTTCATTGATATTGTGAAATTTAGTAATTACGCAGCTACATTGACTCCAGCAGAAATCATGGAACATTTGTCAATAATTTTCGCCAAATTTGATACTTTGGTAAAGAAATATCCATTAATAACAAAGATCAAATTGATTGGTGATGTTTATATGGCTGCTGGTGGTTTGTTCAATCCAGATGAAAATCCACAAAACCACGCAATACAAGTCATCAATTTCGCTTTGGAAGCATTGATGGTTTTAGAAGAAGCAAACAATCAGTTCAATGCTTCATTGATGGTAAGAATTGGTGTGAATACAAATGGTCCTCTTATTGCTGGTGTTCTAGGAACAGATAAACCAGTGTTCGACATCATCGGTGACCCAATCAATGTTGCTTCAAGATTGCAGAGTACAGCTGTTCCTGGAACAATCCAGATCTCACAAGAAACATTCGATCTCATCTCGAACATGAACTACAATGTAGAAAAGAGAGGAGAGATCGAACTCAAAGGAAAAGGCAAGAAGACAGCTTATGTTGTTCGTCCTCTTGCAATGTCGAGTTTCTTCTCAATCTCACAAGAAATGGATGAAACTCAAACACAAAAACAACCTCAAAATTAATTTTATTATAAAATTGTTTGATATTATTTTAAATATTCATTATTTATTAGCATATTAATAACATTTTGTTTGTTTTGTATTCAGAAAATCATCTCAATTATGTCATTCGTAATTGTTCAAAGCTTTTTGTTGACAATTTCTCATTTTCCATTTTTCGTCAAAAATAATGATAGAACATGGGATATGTTATATTTTAAAACTTCCAATAGTATAAATTTCGGTTCAATATTGAACAATTTGTCTGATTTGAATCTAATTTTAATCAAATGCAAAAAGATAAGCAATATTATTTACACAAATAAGGAAGTCAATTTGGAAAATTGTATTCACTTTAGGAGAATATAATTTTCCATTTGGAAAATTTAAAAAGTGAGACGCGCAGGATTCGAACTTTTTTAAAAGTTGATTTAAATGAATTTTAGTGTGGAATATAAGGATAATATCATATTTAAAATAAGAATATACTAGTTTAGGTGGTATTGATTTTTTCGATAAATTTGAGAGTATGTACGTTTAGGGCATGAAAAGTGTCAATTCGCTCAGCGAAAGCTGAGCTAGCTTCGTTCTCGAAAGAATAAGGAAGGAGTGAAGGAGAATGATACAGAAGTTGACACATTCATATCATTTCAACAAATTTTGATCAAATTGAAATTCAATAAAATTCAATTCAATTCATATCCTTCAGTCAGTACATTGATATCCTTCTGCATCACAATGATAACTCGGGCATCAATAGTTCTACAACTAACTCAGAAAAAACAAGATTATTACTTCCTGCTTACAGCTTTTAAAAAGTTTCGATGATAAAAATCACTCTACTCTCGTTTATCGACATATGGTGATAGTAGGTAAACATATTCTTATCGATATTAATAAAAATATTTGTACGAAAATCTTATCCAATTAGAGAGTTATTCATAAAGTATATGATAATTATAATTACTTTATCTTTGTTTTATCTTTGAATAAACAATTTAATTTAAATTGCATAATATTTTTTGGTTGAAAGACAGGAAACTTAGTTGAGTTTGTATTATTTTTATCGTTTAATTTATCGTATCAGTGAGTGATCCAGATATTTAAATATTTAGAAAAAAATTATTAATTTGATTAACAAATTTTAATCAAAATAGCAAAAATATATTTGATAGCTGTAAACAAACAATAATTTTTATTTCAAGCAAAATCACTTATTTTCATCTAAACGTATAAAATTGTCAATTTTATAAAAATAAATTGAAAATCTCATGAAATGTAAAGGAGAGTAATATTTTTCAATTTTCTTTTTTCTTTGTCTCAAATATTTTCTGTTGGGAATTTTCTTGTTATCAAAAAATAATTTTAATATTTGTTTATTTCATTACATACAATAAAATTTTAAAAACTCTATTTCTTCTCAAGAAAATTTTTCCTTCATATGAAGAAACATTTTGTTCTCCATTTGATACTGAGTCTAAATCTCGATTTTTGAATTTTCTTCTTTCCAAATTTCTTTTTTCCAAATTAGAAGTTTAATTCAAATTTTCAATAGTTTATATATTTTCTCAAACCGTCTCGGATTTTCTCACTTTTTAGGGATTTTCTCTCAAAATATACAAAAATAGTAATATCAATACATGTGTCTAATATACTTTAAACCCATCGTGACAAAATTCAAAAACGAAGAGTTCTTCTCTCCAAATTTTTTTCAAAATCAAAAAAATGAGATAAAAAAGTACGTTTGGAAAATTCATTTTTAGAATTTTAGGAATTTTCTCACTTTTCTTCCAAATTGACATCCTTAACACAAATGATTTGTTGCATAAATAAAAATAGAATATTGAATTTTCACAATTTTAAATTTTTAATTTTTCTTTGGAGCGTATCTTAACCAAACACCATTGTCTCCTACTCTTTGAACATCGATCAAATCAAATTCAAGAGGTGGGGAATCTGTATCTTCTGGATTTCTTCTGATGAAAGAAACATCAGTGCTTCTTCCATCAGTTGTTGGAGCAATAACATATGAGAGTTCATCAACTAATCCTGTTCTCATGAGTGACCAATTGATCATTCCGCCTCCTTGGACACAAATTGCTTTGATGTTGAAAACATTCTTCAATTTGGAAAACATCAATTTCCAATCAACATCATGGTCACCACACATAATGTAGGAAATTCCGATGCTACGTAAGTAGTTTCTGTATTGTGGTGTTGATTGATTTATCAAAACTTCAATAATGTCTGAGTCATGGCCCCAGTAATGAGCGACATTTTCCTTCCATCCGAGCTTTCCTTTTGGATTGACAACAATTGCAACCATGTCAAGGTTTCTTTTAGCAATATAATCTCCTTCTTCGCATTCTGCTTTCATGTTGCTCAAATCTACTGTCTCATTATGTGTGCATATTGAGTCAAATGTGGCTCTTCCAACTAACCAGGCATCATGTTCATGATTGTATTTAGTTTTCCAATATTCAGGTCTTAAGTTAAGGAGACTCTGTGTTTTGAAGATGTTTCCTGTAATCTTTCCATCCATTGATGGAATGACGTGGATAAACACGTACGGTCTATCAGTTGACATCACAAAAAAATGATTTTTTTCGAAAGATGAATATTTTGAAAACGAGTTCATTTCATGATATGAGATTATTTTGCTACATTTAATCATAAATTTATAATTTGGTGACTTTCTATTTCCGAACAAGGTGTGAATTCACACATGTCAAAATTTTGATTTCTCAATTTTTTTTTCCTTAAGGGTGCCCTATAACGATAATGTAAACATCACAAAATTAACCTTATTAGAACTCGAATGAATGGATTATCCGGATTCTAGTTCTCAATATAATAGCCTTAAAAGTGCTTTTCTGAGGGTGGTCTATCGTCTATAGGGCACCCTTAAGAAAACGATTGCATTTATTTGGCCGACCAATATAGATTTACAGGCGTGAATTTTTAATAATATTCAATAAAAATGACGCTTTTAGAGCTAAATGATCAGACATTATATAGGATCAATAACTATCAAACACAAGATAAAGCGATGATTATAATAAATGGCATAGAATATCAGCTAAATAAGGCTTTTGCAGTTGCAATTTCTCAAAAATTTTTCTCTCAGTACCTTTTAGACAGTGACATTTCTCAAATTGAAATTAATCTCGATATCAAATCAACAGGTACGTATAATGCATTAGCAGACATACTTCAATACAAACGTACAGAAGTCCAATTTAACGAAACAGTTTTAAGAGATCTTTTCCATGTCGGAATTGCTCTTGAAATCCAAGAATTAGTTGATACATACAAAATGTACATCATTGAAAACAAAAAATTAGATCAATTTAATTGCATTGAACTTCTCGATATCTATTTTGACATTTCGTTAGAAGATAAGATCATAGAATGCATTGATTTCATTTCATCAAACTTTTATCTAATAAATCAATCACAACTCAAATCAATTTCAGAAAAAATCGGAATTGAAGTCCTTAAAAGAATATTTAGTAACAATAAACTGATGTGTATTGATGAAGATTCAGTTGCAAACTTTATTATTTCATTAGTAAAAGAAAATAATGATTTCTTCCCTTTGATTCAAAACATTCGATTTGAATTATGCAGTGAAGCCATTTTTAATGAAATTCAAGAATTTTGTAATCAATACAATTACCAATACATTGTCAAATATCTTTGTGATTCGATAATGAAGGCTCGAAAACCAAATAACTATTCTAAAATATCTTACCAATCCAATTTCTTCCAAACTGGAAATGTAGAAATGTCAGCATCATCAATTGGAAAAGGTTCCATTTATTCGATAAATAATAATTCAAATAATGAATTATTCTGCACTGAAAATATTCCAAATTCATGGATTGAGTGGAAATTGAAGCAAGGATATGCAATTCAACCACTCGAATACATTATAAGATCAACACCTCCAGGTAATTATAATTTGCGCCTTCAATTATGGAGAGTTGAAGGAACAACAATTTATGGAGAAACAAAGATTCTTCATGAAGTCTATTCTTCTCAATGTAAAGCAGGAGAAATTCGGAAATTTATTGTTAAATCGGATGATAAATTTGTATCATTTAAACTGATCCAATTTGGAAAGAACATTGGTGGGGCAGATATATTAGAAACAAATGTTTTTGACTTCCCAGGAAATATATACTACATATCAAAATAAACGACAATATTCTATTTCATTATGAATATCTTTGTGATATAAGGTTGACAAAAAATAGAACATTTTTAAAAATACATTGTTTGAGATGAAAATCGAGTACTTTCTGGCACAAAACCTTATATTGTCAAAAAAATTAAATGACCTTTTTTATGTGTGTGTTTCAGAAAGTTTACAACTGAATAAACTTATTTGTTTCTGACAAATAGAGTCCCAAAAAGTACTCAAACAGTGATTTTTAATTTCCACACTTTTAGTTTGAACTTACAGTTAAAAGTATTAGTTAATTATATTAAGATTTTTAATATAAAACAATATAAAAAATAATACTAAAAATAAATAAAAAAAAAGTTATATTATGGTGTAACTAAAATGTTTGATAATTCCGCTGTCGAATGTAAGCGAGTATATCTTTGTTTCTCTGTTGAAATCGAGAGCGATGATGCTTCCTCCTGGAGAGCTACAAATCTCAGTGACTTCATCAGGACGAACTGGATGGAATGCGAAGATTTTTCCTTCGTTTGATTCGAAGAAAACAACATCCATTTGGTTCAGATTTTGTTGGATAAACCAACGAGAGATCTTGTGCTTTAGAGGAACGCGTCTCACTTCAAAGCAAGAGCATGAAAGGACAACAATGTCTGTCTTTGTTTTAATGATAACATGTCCTAATTGTCCAGCCTGAAGAATGGAAATGACTTCATTCCTTACATCGTATGAATTGATGAATTTTCCTTTTGCATCGAAAGAATGAACTAAATAATCATCAGTGACAACAATGATTGAACGAGAAACTTTGTTTCCTGTGCACTTAACGATTCTATTCTTAAGAGAACAGATCATCTTGATTTCGTTCGTATTCGTGTCGAGCAAACTGAGTGATGTTTCACTCGATTGGAAACAGATTTTGTCGTTCTTGAGAATGAAGAAACAACAACATTTGTACGGGAAGAAAAATGATTTGACTTCTTTTCCAATTGTCCAAATTAACTTCTGAGATCTAGAATAAGCATATGTAACCAATGGAAGTGGACAGAAAATGAGGTCATCAGAAATAGTCATTTTTCCGATCTCTTTGTTGTTTTTAACTACAGAGCCGTCGTTGAGAATATAAATGACTTTGCTCTTGTAATTCGCAATACGGAAAACATTTTCAACAGAAAGTTTTTCGTCATCTAAAGATCCAGGAGAAATAGTGATTGGTTTCTTCGATTTTACTGAACCGAAAATGATGGAATTGAAGTGTGATTTTGTGCCGAAATGTTGGTCAATCCAAAGAGGAAGCCATTTAGAAACTTTTTCACTTTCAAGTGCCAATCTATGTTGGAAAATGAAGTCATGAGAAGAAGAGAAATTCTTTGGAAAATCTTCATATTTCTCAGCAAATGAAAAAGCTTCTGGATTCACAATATCATGTTTTGTTATTCTCTCAAAGAAATCTCCTGTCAAAGGACCTCTGTGTTCGTTTTCAAATGGAGGACATTCTTCCAAAATCCGGAATTTTTCATCGAAAACTCTTGGAAAGATTGGATAATCTGTGCTGTTTCTAAATGATCTTCCTCCGTAAATGTTCAAATGCATCAAAAGCACGAAATTGGATAACTTAGAGTTAATCCATTTCGACAATGTTTTTGTTGCAGAAAACGAAGAAGAAGAAATAGATCTTTGTATAATTCTCGCGTTCTTCATCACACAATTATAAATTACTTTCATAATGTCAGCGAATTCGCTGCTGTTGAATTGAAGATAGAATGATTTTCCTTCATTAGTAATGATTTCAAATGAATACTCACCTCTCAACAAGAAATATTCGATGTTGTCATGTTCTAAGATATAATTCTTGTTGTTTGAAATCATGAATTGTGTCTGATAAATGGAGAATTGGCTGTCTAAACTATCATCAATTTTCTTTAGTTGACAACTATAAACCAATGTCTGGGGTTTCTTCTTTTTCTTCTGTTTGTGAGGTGGCAATTTGTTTTCTTTCAATTTCATCTTGTTGTGGAGAAATGTCAAAGTCAAAGTGTTGTCGAAACTCAATGTCGGAGGTTTCTTTGTTCTTTCTTTGACGTAAACAACGAATTTCGTGTGTTCAGACATTTCTGTGTAGTGCATTCTATTGACATTCGATATAATAGTATTAACAAATTGGATAGAAACAGTCAAATTCGATGTGAAATCTTTGACGGCAGCGGTGACAATTTTTATCATGTTTTTATGGGAAGATTCGACCAAAGATTTTATATCCGTGTTCTTTTTCCCGACAATGAAATTGTCTATTACATTGAAGATCTTTCTTGTCTTCAACTGTTTCTCAGTTACAACTGTCAAAATGAAAACTCCTAATTTAGAATTACTCCAGTTTCCATCATCTTCAACGATTGCTTGGAAAATTAAAGGAAAATTAGTTAAATCCAACTTAACAAAATTCAAGAGATTACTTGTTGGCATCAATGCAAATGTCTTTCTTGTTTCTACACAAGTTTTATCAATGTTTTCATTTGAAATTCCATTACCAATATGATACAAAGTCAAAAGAGTCAACATTTCAACTAAATTGTTCATTACATCTGTATTGTAATTATCGCTCTTTATCAAATAAGTCAATAACTCAATCATTCTGTTTTTGCTGCCAGGAATAGACAAACTATCTGCATATAAAGTAAAAACTGTCATGTTTCTGACATCTGTCAAAAAGTTGTTTGAAATTTGAAGCAATTTTATGATGTAATTAATAATTCCATCATAATCATCTGCTTCATATGACATGATCAATGGGAAAACAAACCAATTCTGGTCCAAAATTACTTGTTTCGTGAAAGATGGCATGCAACTAATCGGATACATCAAAACTGAATATTGTTTGATCGCTTTCTTTCCTAATTGCAATGCTGCAATGCACATGAAATTACACAGATTTGGATAACTGTTCAAATCACTTAAAAGTAAATGAAAAACTTCATTAAGGTGAGGTGAAGTGACCAATATATTGAAAGCACTATTCAAATAATCCAAAGACATCAATTGAGGTTCTGTTGACATCTGGTGTATCAAAATAATTGCTGCTTCAACTATATAAACATTATCATTCAAAATTTGCGAATGACAGAAATTCATAAATTGTTTTTTGTATTGATTCGAAATCAGCAAATTCTTATCACAATTTATAAGCGCTCTAAGAATTGCTAACAGTTTCAAATCCTTTGAGAACACAGCTTGGCTGAACCAACATGTAATGTGTTCTTTGTTTGCGAGAGGAGCGATTTTTGTCAACAAATGTTCGTATTCTTTGTTGTAATCGCTTTGATAGAAAAGTTTAATGAACTTCAAAACAGTTGTTGGAGTTATATGATTGTAATCGAAATACATCATATTATAAGTCATTACTTTGTAGATCATCGCTCTATCTTTGCTTCTGTCCCAAATAAAGGGATTCAACAAAATTTTGTCAAGCCAGTTTTGTTTAATAATCGTCATCGTCAAAACTTTAAACAACTTCAATTGTCCATTAAATAATTGGAAGCTTGGATCAGTATGAGACAGGAAAAAATAACTAATAAGATCAGGAGATAAATAATATTGTTCTGAAGGCATTTTTTCATAAATTAAATGTAAAATGCCAAAAACAGAAAGAGTTAAATTTTCATCAACATCTTTTCTTTGTTCAAAGAATTTGTCAAGTGTTTTTGTAACATTATTCTCCAAACAAACTTCACAAATAGTAGAAGGATGTAAAACAAAACCGTCAGATTTCGAAAAATTCATTGATGTCAAAATCGGATTGTATTTCGTGTCCAAAGGATTATTTTTGAGAACAGCACATTCTTCATCAGTCAACGGTCTGTTGAAGAATGAAAAACTATGTGTAATTCCGATGGGCGTGTCAGAAAATGCCGGATTCACTTCACATTCGTCAAAACCTCCCAAAACAATTGAAAGATTTTGATTGAATACTGGTTTAACTTTTATAGGGACTGCGTCAACCAAATTGTCATCAATTACAGGGAAAACGGTCATTCCATTTGTATCATCAATCAAAACAGAAATCATTATATGGATCCATTCATCGGATAAGAAACTTCTCGCTAAGTTTGCAACAATCTTCTTTCTGTTGAATTTTATTACCATCATCAAACTGTTGTTGCTCAAAAAAACTCTCAACAAATTACCTTGTGAATCATTAATCATAAAAAGTGACAAATTAAGGTTAAAACTATTAAGAGATCTATGAGCAATTTTAACAATAAAACTTGCAGTAAAACCGTTGTCAAACAGTTTTTCTGTTGTTTTTGTTACAAACTGTGAATCCATGAATCCTAAACTAAATAACGGTTTTGACATTGAAAAAGTGGATGTCAAACTGCATTCCAAACTTTGGCAAATTTTCAGAACATTTTCAGATTGATTTTCATTAATAATATCAAGATACAAAGAAAGTATTGAATTATCACTTGTAAACTTCTGAATTGTTTCAATTAATTTGAGAGCGTTCTCAATATTTGAAATTTCTAGTCTTAGAGAACAATTATGGAACTTAATTTTCTTTAACGAGCTAAGGTATTTAAGAATTATGTAATCAACGAATCCTTCGTGTAATTTGTAGCAGTTAAAGAAAGAAAACTCAATTTGATCCAGAAAAATTTCAATTAATTTGTCAGTTTTTCGATAAAAGAAAAACAAAAGAGGTAAAGCAGAAGGTTGGAACAAATGTGCTTGTTGTAATGAAATGACAGCTGTTGATCCACAGCATATTTCCCATATCTTTGCTAATACTTTCGCTTGCAAACACTTGTTAATTTCGATTTCATCACTATCATCACAATTTTTGTAACAAATGTCACTTTGCGATCGTTTCAAATTATTTTTGGTTTGTTCTGGTGGTTTAACCATTCCACTGTTTGATTTCTTGATTGGCGATTTCTCCCTTTTTCGTTTTTCTGGTGGTTTTTCTTCTGAAATTTTTGGGGTGTCACTTTTATCGTCTTTTGGCACTTTTTGTCTAAAGAAAGTTTTGAAACAATTGAATAATGTCATTGTTTCGTAATCAGACAAACCTTCTTTTCTATGAGAATAAATTTCCAAAAGTGACATCATGATTTTTTGACTTTTTTGGGAGTTTAAAAGTTCTGTTATTTTGATGATTAATGGTTTCAAGTTCTGTTGGGAGTTTGGATGGCAAACGTAGATGTCTTCGATGAGTTTTACGACTCTTTCTTTGTAATTTAAGTCGAAATCACTCAAAAAGAAGTCAGAGTTGGTCATATACTTCTCTAAAGCTGATGTATCACATTCTTCTATGTACAATGTCTTCAAAACATTGAAGATCTTGGTGAGCATCGAAAAATCTTTTCCTAAATTTAGGAAAACTCTGACGAAATCAATATTACTGAATGCAACTTGAAGAAAACTCTTGTTTGCAAGACAGTTGAACAAGAAAGTAAAATAAATTACTTTTTCTTGATCAATAAAAGTGACATCTTTTATCTCAGAAAGTTTTGTACCAACATCTAGTATTAATGACACTAGATTTGCATGCGCGAAGATTGTATAGTCAAGAGCAACGTTAGTTTTGTATATTCTCAGGATAAATTCTACGAACATGTGCGGATTTGTACTTCCAAGTGCTAAAATCTGCATCAAAAGCATTTGGTCGATCTGAACTATACGATTAATCACTATATTTCGTAAAAGGCCGAGTACTGGATCACTATCTTCGCATGTAAATACGGAATAATTCAATTGAAATAACATTGACGACAAAAGCTTTGAAATTATCGATTTTGTCTTAGACAGATTTTTAATCTGGTTCATTATGTATACGAAACCAGCTAAAACATAGATAGTATTCGGTGCTTGATATGTCAGATCTACAATTTTGCCGTAAGATTGGATAAAGTTCATAATTGCCGACATTGATGAGTTTGTGAGTGCGTCGCTTAGTCTGTTCATGATTGATTGTAAGTTTGGATGAAAAACGTCTAATAATGTGATATTATCTTCGACTTTTTCAAAAGATAACGATGTATATATTTCAGGAATGTTGAGAGGTATTTTGAATATCCTATTTGGGTCGAATTTCACTTCATAAGCTGAAGGAATATTTTGGTATTTTTTTGTGTATGACATTTGGTATTTGCTAATCTCTGAGATAAGTATCGATGGTAACGATGCGTACATTGCTAATAGGTTATCGCATTGTGAATAAAGAGAAAAACTCGAAATAATATTGAGAGATCGAACATCAAAACGATGAAATGATGATGTAAATAAATCCACAAGCGTGGTTGGTTTTTCAACCATCAAATATGGTGCTTTCTTTTCAAATAAAACTAAAATTGAATCTGCAAATTCGTCGAAAAAATCGGGATTTAGATTGATTGGCATTCTCGCAAATATGGCGGCAATGAAAGTATAACTGCCTTGATCAAAAGGTGGCATTGTTTCAAGGTATTTGCAAAAATGTGTCAAAGTGCGTAAAGATAGGATAAATCGTTCATAAGAAGTGAAATATATAGATACTAATGCGAAAGCTAGTTGTATCAGATCGCTATTTTTTGTTGACAAACAATTAATTTTTTCTAATTCTGACATAAAATTGCAAAATTTATCATCGATATTTGTATAATCTTTCAAATCTAAAAGAGAAAATGAGAGATAAATGATTTTTGCTAAGAGAATCTGAATGGATATCGTTTGATCTGCTGCATTTGTGAGAGTTGGAATAATAACATTGGCGCAATTGGATACTATATTGGCATCTTTAATGAATTTTTCGATTGATTTTGTTCCATCGTATTTAAAATTAGTAAGTTCTTTATCATTCTGTGTTAAATTCGGTATATTTTGCAAAAATGATTTCTCCAGATTAACCAGGCATTCGTCTTTGGCTTTAATCTCTTGAACCAGCTCAAAATATGATATGAGCTGGTTAGAAGAAATCATCTTTGAAGAAATAAAAAACTTTGGATCACAGAAAATTTTGGAAAACATCTTGTGTATTATGTATTAAAAAGATCATTTGCATAAAAATATGAGTTCACAAGCTGTCATGTTATTGAAATTTATCCATTTATCTGGCTTAATCAGGATCAAATAAACCACACACTAAAAATTAATCGAAATTTACAAGTTGAATGCAAAAATCAAAAGAAATATGGATCTCAAAAAATATTTTGGGAGATAGTTCTTTCTAAGGAATTATTCTTGAAGAGAAGGGTATTGTTCAATGTTTTGGCAGAATGATTTTTTCCAATCTTTTAGTACTTCATTCACATTCTAATATGAACGCGGATTATTAATGTATTGTCTATTACATATATGTAGTTTCACACTAAAATTATCTTATAGGTATGAGCATAAGAGATAAAAAGCTGAAATGATAAAAATTGTAGATAATTTAATTTAAAAAATTAAAACATAGCAAGTAATTTGATGTCGTTCTAAGTTATTAGATAAATTTGTTACAAATATTAATACATAATAAAGAAACTCAATGAATTTTTATTCCATATAAATAAATATTTCAAAAAATTGTAGTTTTTATATAAATACAACTGTGAATAGTCTATCTTAATTCTATGGATAAAGAATAGCTGATGAAAATTAAATGCAAAATGGTGAAAATGATTGGGAAGTATTTTGATAATAATGTTGCTCAGAAAATTTTGAAAGTTATATTCAATTTTTCTTTTTCAAAAATGAAATTTTATCTATAACAACAAATCACAATATTTTATTAATTTTATATTTTTATGTGTCACTTTTATTATAGTTTTTTGAAAATTCAATTGTATTATTAAAGTATTGTATAATATATATTAAATTAAAATATGCATAAAAACAGTGATTGATGTCGGTTTTTACGTCGGACCAACGATATTTGTAAAGTTTTGGTCTGCCTTTTAGAGTAATGGGTCGTCGTCCAGCTCGCTGCTACCGTTACATCGGAAACAAGCCATATCCAAAGTCCCGCTTCTGCCGTGGTGTCCCAGATCCACGTATCATCCGTTACGAAACAGGCACAAAGACTGCTCATGCTAAGGATCTCCCAATCTGCTGCCGCCTTATCCTTCTCGAACACGAATGCGTTTCTTCTGAAGCCCTCGAAGCATCTCGTGTCAGCTCTAACAGATACATGATGAAGACAATGGGCAAGGATGGCTATCACATCAAGATCAACCTCCACCCATTCCACGTTCTTCGTATCAACAAGATGCTTTCCACAGCTGGTGCCGATAGACTTCAGACAGGTATGAGACACGCTTTCGGTAAGCCAGAAGGCCTCGTTGCTCGTGCTAACTACAACTCCCAGATCATGACAATCCGTACAACATCTGCTGGTCTCAAGCACGCTCTCGAAGCCCTCCGCCGTGCTTCCTTCAAGTTCCCAGGCCACACCCGTGTTGTTATCTCCAACAAGGTCGGTTTCACACCATACACATTCGAGGAGTTCAAGGAGCTCCAGGCTAATGGCGCTATTGTCGACTGCGGCAACCACGTTAAGCGTGTCTACCGCCGTGGCCCAATCCCAAGAGCCTAAACATTCGATTAAACTTTTCGAATATTAAGACAACTATATTTGCTTGCTTTTATTATATATAAGAGTCCTATTGCCAATCCATAATTCGTTAAGATATCGAAAATATTTAATAATCTTGTAATACAAGAGCCAATTTTGTATTCGTTCTATCTTTTGGTCGAAAATGATACACCAAAACCAATAGAATATTTAAGAATTGCAGCTCAAAGGAAAATTTCAATCAATATCATTCGAATTAGCATATTATTATTGTGTCAATTGCTTATGGAACATGTTTTATTTTCAATATGATAATACTATGCTGCTTTATTTCATTAATATTTTTGAATAAAACTTTCCTCATGATTCAGGCAAGTTTGAGATGTAATCTTTCTTAATTTTTGCAATGTGCTAGGATGCGTATGTTAATTTTCACAAAGATCTTGTTTTTGAAGAATTATATAATTAATTTAACAAGAATTGCTTATAACCGAAACGTGAACCTGCTTATATTCAAATCTTTGGTCGCAAGAAGAATTGCATGATAAATAAAAACATTTAATCAAAGTCAATTTTATTTTTCATATTCAAATGGACTGAGTGTTAACATTTAACATTTTTTGCTAATTGTCGTCAAAAATTAGGCGTAAAGCAAAAATTAATATTTCATATAAGGGTTTCGTTTTGCTAAAATTGTCACTTTTATAGCATATTTGTTTTGAGTAGGGGTAATTTTAGCTAAAAGTGACACGCTTGTAAAAAGTGACACACCCGTGAAGGGTGTGATTACCGATCGGTAATTTCGACAGTTTAGAATTTAAAATTTTTTATGGAACTGTTGCGAGTTTCATAAAGAATTTAAGGAATATAAGCAAAGATTTGAATCAAAATCTTAGACCTAAGCCGCTCGATTCGCTCGCGGCTTCCGCGAATTACAGATCAGCAAAGATTTGAATCAAAATCTTCGAACTAAGCCGATCGCTTCGCTCGCGGCTTTCTTTATTATTTTAAATTTGCATATTTCCATCAAAAGTTCATAAGGTAAAAAATTTCGTTTATTTTTACTAAGAAAAAAAAGGTTTTTGATAATAAATTTATTTTATTTCGAAAAAGTAGCAATAATCGTAAAAGGGTATTGATAGGCTTGCTAAAGTAACTAATTTTAGCTGTCAAATACTTTTGTATTTTGAAGTAAATTAGTATAAATTTGTTTTTACTTTTATTTCGAAAAAGTAGCAATAATCGTAAAAGGGTATTGATAGGCTTGCTAAAGTAACTAATTTTAGCTGTCAAATACTTTTGTATTTTGAAGTAAATTAGTATAAATTTGATATTATTTTAACTCCCTTTGAAAACCTCAATTTTCCATACAGAGGGAACGAGAATAGCATCCAATATTCCCTGAGAATGGTTGCGCATTCTCAGTTCCCTCTATATTTCGAACGAAGCTCTCATCGGTCTTTTTTTTTAATACTAAACGTTTTTTTCCCCTGTCACTTTTAGCTAAAATTTGGGTTTGCCTATTTGTTTTTGGATGTTTTGCGAAACCAAAAAAAAAAAAAAACTATGATATACAATGTGTGTGTAAAGAAAATACTTTATTTACTAGTTAAAAAATCATTTGGTATTGATCAAGTTTTTTTTTCTGGATAAGATATTATATGGATAATTGGATAGAAAATACAATTATATAATCTTGTACCTGGTTTAATTAAGCTAATTGTCATCAGAAACTTGTAATTTTTATGAATTTCAGATTTTCTTTTCATTACTGCTTTTCTTAATAGGTCAAGTTCTTATTTACGTTATAAAGTATGATATTTACAAATATCAAGTTATCATGTTTTTTGAGAAATTATGAGAAACAAACAAAAATGAAAAAGATAGGAATAGCAATGAATAGTGATGTGGGTATAGAAAATGTAAGAGATATGAATGCAAAGCAATCAGTATTTAGGATATTGACCATAGATTTCGAAAAAAAAATGCTGCATATTGAGCGAAAATTATGATTATATTATAAGGCTATCATTTAAAGCATAATGAAACTATTCCCTTTTCATTTTAATCGAATAAGATAGTAAAGATTTTTGAATTAGCTAGAAACTGATGAGATGTTTTCACAAATCAGATTTTTGATCTCTATAATGCATAATTCACTCAATATCTCAATTTTGATATTGCGAGATATTTTTGCTATCGGTTTCGCAATTTTGACACAATAGCAAGAGGGTTCTATAAGCATTATTATCAACGTAGAATCTGAATATCATATCAGAAAATGTCGCAAATCTGACATTTACCCGACCAAATAGCAAAAATAATTGAATACTTTTCGCAAAAACTTTAAAAATCGATAAAAATATGAAATATAGATATTAAAGAGACTTTTTATATAATATTCATAAAGATTTTCCAAAAATATGATACCGCAAAATTAAAAAAGTGACGTCTTGAGTGGAGTCAAAGGTCGAAATTGCTAGCTAAATGTTTTTTTAGCGAAATTGCGTATTGTACGTTTTTTTCGCAAAACGAAACCCTTATTTCATATGGTTTTATGATAGATAAGCATTATATTCCCACTCATTATATTCGTAAATTTTGAGGTTTATCTTTCGCTTTTAAGATCATTGAATTTGATTTTTATATAAAATAGTTATATATTAGAAAATAATATGAGTTTATGTGATATTATTTTTCGGAAGATTTCATTCTATATGCCTATGAAAGAGGTAGGGCAACGATAGAAAATTTTTGGAAAAAAAGTTCGGAGATCTTAAACGTATCATATTCCCTGCATGGTTTGGTATCTTCCGCCATGCGTTGTGCCAAACTTATTGACACTTTCCAATAATTAATTTATGGTATGAGTCACAAAGTTAGATTATAAAAAGAAAGTAAATAATTGCAATTAGAAATCATATATGTCGGAAATCAAATGTTGATGAGCAGAAACCTTTTACTCATCATAAAAGAGATAAATCACTAAAGATTTGTATACATTAAAATTTGATATTTGGTGCTCGAAAACTGTCTGATGGGACTCCTCCAAAATGAACCAATCTATCGCTGAGGACCAAATTAGATGATGTGGATGGTGTATTCTCTAATTCTAACTTAGGAAGAATGGGAACAAAACGAATGACGACAACAACATGTCAAACATAGATTAAATATCTATGAATCAATAAAGTATACGTGCATTGAAGGTGATAACGATCACTTGAGGCTTATAACTCTTTGACTAAATTATGCAATAATTAAATATAATCATTTTTATATTTTTATACTGATAGTAATTAATATACTATCCTGCTTAATAAATGGTATGATCAAATTTGTTTGAAAATTTAATTATGTATATGAAACTATGTCTTCTATATAAAAATCAAAATTTTCGGACGAACCTAGATTGAACCTTTATGAAAATCTATCATTTTTGTTAATTGAGTTAATATGAATCTTTTACATATGTATATATAGCATTGATAGCTTATATAATCATGGTTTATTCCATATTAACATATTTTTTCAGTTAAATTTGTTAATAATATCATGTAACAAATTAATTCAAGATTAGAATGTCTACAAAATGCTAACAAATAAGAACAAAATACGATTTCTCGACTTAAATTTTAATATGGAGTAGTTTTTCGTTTAAATCTAATTAAAAATGAATAAAAACTTATCTTGTACTATTTTCATTCAAAGATTTTAATAATGTAAATCATGCATTTTCATAATTCAGTACAGTTCTTTTTAGAATTAAAGTTGATGAGGATGATATTTGTGATTTAAAATAATTTGTTAATGTTCACCTTTTATTCATCACCTTGTGGTATGCCCTAAAGCAATAGCATTATCAATTCTGCTGAATTGATCAACTCAAAATTCCAAAAAAAATTCAAAATTTCAAAAATGAAATTAAACAATTTGAATTTTCACATGAAAAAATCAATTTCGAAAAAAATTTGGAAAATCAAAGTATTTGATAATTAGTCAAATAATCAATTTACATCGTTTTTACTCATAAAAAACAACTAATTTTTGATTTTGATATCATATTTGATAAATACTCATTCCAGAGTTGACGTAATGTATTAATTATTGTTAGAGATATTGCTTTCGCAGCAAAATTCTTATTTCATGAAAGAAAAAAAAAATGATTTTATTCCAACAAAAACAAGTAAACAGATGAATGGAAACGTACTATATTTTCATAAATGTAGTAATCAGCGTGTCAGCTTTTGTTTATCATGTTCGAGTCAAAATGTATTAACTTGTAATAAGAAATATTCGAAGATTATATGAAGTATTGAGCATTCTTTGTAGAAATATTTGTAATTCATTACTAACATATATAATAAAGTTGTTTTTTTTTCCTTATTGCAATAATTTTGTCTGATTTTAATAACTTTTCATGTATACGAGTTGTGTGAATATGCATCATAATATGCGTAAATATACTTATTTGCGACGAATAATGTGGTTGCATAATGGAGGTGCTAAATTTTGATTTTTAATATGGGGCTTTGGTATGTATAATCATGTTCTTATCTCAACGTAGGAGTATTGGTGCAATATGATTAAAATTTACGAGGTTGATCTTAAATTGAATAATTCTGGAGTATAAATCACAATGCAGCTAATTCTATGTTAAAGATAGATACAGATTGTAGTAATCAATTAGGGAGTACAAATTCATTCTTTCATTTCTGTCGTATTGAGCAGAAAGGAAGAGATCATAACCCTAGGAAAAAAAGCCCAAATTTGTCACTTTTCATAGTACGTTAAACTCAATTCGCTCGGCGAATGCCGAGCACACGTACTCATCATTCAACATAATATTCTCATTCTTTGGTTATTATAGTGCCAGACAACACAAGATTTCAAAGAATTACTTGAGTTTTCAATTAATCTTAATCCGATTTTAGATTTATCGAGAACTCCATCATCACAATCACATACTTCAGTGCGGTAACTACAATTATCCATATACAGAAGGAAGTTCTTTTCGAACAACTCATTTGGAGTCTGTTTTGGAAAGAACTTCTTTCTGTCCGACTTAATTTCATAGTTCCTGATCAACCAAAAGACAGAAACCACACACTATCTACTTAGGAAAGGAGTTCTTTCTAAATCTTCCTTAAATTGAGATTTTACGAGAGATAACCCTTCTATTGCACTTAAAAATGAACATTTTGATATCTTTAGTATCACACATGGTCATATATAGTATTTCATCTACATGAATACATTCATCTTTCGAAGTCTCTCATTAAATGGGAGGCTTCGAAAGATGAATCGTTTTATTCATACAACTTTAAATCTCGAACACATTTAGAGAGTGAGTATATCATTTTATTCTTGTTTTGAGTTTATTCTGATTCAAAATTGCAGTGAAAACAGAAGTTCACACATCATATCTGAATGTGAGCTCATCTATACTTATACGATCTCAATACCTCCACTCTAAGCATAAGAGGTGAAGTTATATAAAAATTATCAGATGCGTTGAAGTCTCAAAAGTATTGCCTGAATGCTTGTTTCATATTTGTCCAAGTAGTTTCAATGAATAAATGTATTGTTTTTTATAATTTCGATTTATTTTTAGAAAATATTCAATATAAACCTTTATTGTGTTATTTACATCTCATAAATTCTCTGTCTAAATCATATAAAAGCGCGTTTTACCCCTATGAATCAAGAAATTCATTCAATATTCATGGTATATTTATTAAATTTATACGATTTACTAATAATCAATATTATATCCTCATAAATAGCAATATATTTTGGTAATCTATGATAATCATATACAATATTTGAAATCAAATTTTCATTAGTTTAGGTTCCTTGTTAATAGTAAACCATTATATTTATTACTAATAATAAAATCTATTTGTCGTATTGAAATTCAATAAAATTACTTATTCGGTCCAAAAAAACAAATTAGATAAAATTTTTCTTTTTTTATGTAATTTTTGTTTTTCATTTTTCTCAAGATCCTAAGTTATGTTCTAACTTTTGACATCATATCCTATCATGCTAGGCTATATATTATAGCATATCCAAAAGGCAAGGAAATCTATCAGAGAAGCCTTTTTGACCTATCGTTGCCCTACCTCTCCTATGAAAAGTACTCTCAAAACTAACTTTTTCCTAATTATAATTAAATCTAGAATATTGTATTATGCTTAGTATTATTTCATTTTTCTCATTCAATTTAGAATTTACAAATGTCAAAAAATTGAGAGCTGTCACTTTTGATGAATTTCTGTTTATTACACTATTCTTTATTGAACATAAATTAAATTATAAATAATCAAACATAGATTTTTTTATGCCGTCACTTTTATAGGAAAGTGAATAAGTATTAAAATGGCATTTTGGAAATGGGACAAAGTAGTTGAAAACTTATACATCAAGGTACACATGGTTCAAGTTCCACCCAAGTTCCAAAATGAGTTCGATGTCGCATGGCATCGTGGAAATAATGCTTCTGTCACAGAAAAAAGGAAGCCTGACAAAAAAGGAAGGATAAAATACGAAGAACTTTTCTCTGTTCCTGTTACAATTTTCGTTAACAAGAAAGATAAGTCCATTAGACTAAAAATTGTCGAATTTTTACTCAGAAGACATATTGAGGGATCACAAGTCAAATTCCTAGGTCGCCTTCACATAAACGTTGGAGAATACTACTCTCAGAAAGAAAAACCAACAGCGCTCAGCGTTGATATGGAATCTGAGCGTTCTCAACAACCAAAAATCAATCTCTCTATTTCTTTCAGCCCAATACCGAACGATTATGTTCCTGACTTCCAGTCTCAACTCGAAGTCAATGAATCTGATATCGAAAATGCCGACGAGCAGCCAACCAAGATCAAGCGCAACGACTGGGACAAATCCGGCGAGGAAGAGGATCAGCGCGAAGAAGTCCAAGAGGGCCTTCCTCCAGAGATGCAAGCGCCAAAAGAAGAAAAACCGGAAGAAGAGCCGAAACCAGAAGAAAAGAATCCTGAACTCGAAGCCAAAGCCCGCGAAGTCGATGCCGAAGATCTCAAGGACGTCATGGAGCCAAGAAAGCGCGGATCAACAGCAAGATACCAAAGATCTACATCTTCCATCTTATCTTCGGACAAGATTCCAAAACCCGATGAAGATCAAAAGAAGGAGCTTGATGCATCAAATACAGAAGGAAAAGCTCCGACTGAGATGGCAATACCAATTACAGAGAGTACTCCGCTCGAAGCGATACCAGAAGAGCCGAAGAAGGCCAACGATAACGAGTACTACTCAGATGAATATTACGAAGAAGAGAGCATTTACTATTCTGATGAAATCGACGAAGAAACCATCAGGAAAGAAGCTTCTCTTGTTCAGAAAGTACTCCTTAAGACATGGCCCAACTACAAAGTCACTTATTGCCTTGATGTTGACGATAAAATCGCATGTCCACCAGCAGCTCTTCCATTCTTGGCAACAATCCTTCACTGCCAAGTTCTTCATCAGGAACAGTGCCTCAACGCCTTCCTAAACAACATCGGTCTCGCTCCATTACAAAATAATTGTTACTCAGTCCATCGTTTCTACACTTACGCCGTTATTTTACTGTTCGTACAGCGTTCTCAGTACGTCAAGAACAGGAAATACGCTCATGTTGACGATTTCTTGAACAAATTAACTCCAATCTTCTTTAATACCCTCAGAGGGTCGCTGAAGACCTTCGTTACCCCATTCAAGGGACTTTGCAACAGGCTCTGCACTACCAGATTCATCATGAACGAACTCGTCGAAGATTTCGTTGTTGAATTTGGCAAGGCTCAGAAAATCATCAAGACACAATTCCCTCTTGTCGACAACTACGTCATGCGCTTCTTCCTTACCATCCTTGACTTCAAATTCGCCTCCAAACTTGCGAAATCCAACCTCAGATGGAATTCCAAAAACGCAGCACTGTGGGCGAGTTTCTTTACGATGGTCGAAGCAACAATGAGGCCTGACGACAAGCCGCAGCAGCAGAAAGAGACAAATGACGGTCTTCCAACTGAAGAGGAAGAGAAACAAGAGCTTCTCACAACAGAAGAGGACGAACTCAAGAAATTCCAGTTGAAGGTCGAATTCCCAATTGCAAAACAAATTTGCCATTTGATAACTCTTTCTCCTGTCATCGTCAAACAGCCTGAACTGACTGAAACTGTCTGCAAGGACATCCCTCTCCAGACTGTCGCTTTCATTCTTGATAACATCAAACCGGACGAGATAATGCCTCTCCCGATTTACATCGAGGATTTCTGCAAGGCGAAGAACTTGCCATCGAAAGATCTCAAGCCTGAGAAGTTGAAGAAGTTTTCTCCTGTTGATTTCGAGGAACTCAGCAAACTCATCAACTACGAAGCTTGGAGACACTGCATCGAAGAAGATGCTGTTGTCGAAGAATACAAGTACTTCAAGGATTACTTCAAGGGTGAGAAAGATTAACTTTAATAATTCTTTTGTTTTATTTATTTTATATATTTTTATTTGTTAATGGCTCTATATTTTTATTATTATTGATTTATCTTATTATTTTTGAACTAAACAAAAAAAGTTTCTAATTATCATTTATTTATCTTTATAATGCTTCTAACTGTCATACTTTCGTTTGTAATAGGTTTCTTATTATCATTTATTTGTCTTTATAATGTTTATAATTATCATTTGTCTTTATTTGCATCTATAATTATCATATTTTCGTATTTATAATGTTTCTAATTATCATTTCTTAGTCTTTATAATGTTTCTAATGCAAAAATACAACATATAAGGTTGTATTTGCGGTCCTCGAGGTTGAGTTTTCCCATTGTCAAAAAAGTGAGGCCTTACATCTGTTCTTATACCAAGACATCTAAAAGGATTTATCAGAAATTTCAATGCGCACTCATTTAGTTTCGTGTTTGTAATTAGTATATTTGCACTTAATAAGAACAAACCTAACTCTGTGAAATAATAAAAATCTGCATAAAATTGAAGATTTTATTTTGTTATAAGTGCTCCACATTATAGCTTGGAGTATATCCAAACCCTCGATATTTAGATACGGGCTGAGTTATATATGATTCCTTACTGAAAACAAAATATTAATTTCTGAATGGGAGAATCAAGAGAAAAACATTCGATTCAGTCACTATGAGAACTAATTCAAATAATGTTTTATGTTCTTTGCCATTATAAAAAATATCTCTGAGAAATTTTTATAATTCTAGGGATTTTTGTTAAGTTTTGTCATCTTTAATAAATCTAAATGCTATTTAAACAAAATTTATATATAAATGAAATTTGATGGTATTATTAGGGAGTATTGAAAACATGATCGGTGGGAACCAGAGAATGGAGGGAGATGTTTTCTCAGTGCATGATATATTAAATGATATTGAAGCCGGATCTGCGGTTAGCACTCTAGCAACCATCAAATCGGAAATAGATAGACAAATTTCATCAGCAGCAATATCAACACTGTGGTTAGAAAAAGGTATAGTAAATCTCTCTTTAGAATTAGTAAAACAGGCAATTAATGATTGCAGGCGTTCACTTGAACATGATCCTGATAACATTCTCGCATACTTTGTGCTAGGAGTTTCGTATTTGTGGAAAGGTGACGAAGAAACAGCTATGAAAGAATGGCAAGAGGGATTAACTAAATCAGGAGTTATTCTTACGCATCTTGTTGTATCAGAAATCGTAAAAAATTGCACTGTCAGAGAATATATCAAATCTATCAGATTCAATGTTAAATCTTTATTCGAATTTCATGATAATTTCAGTCCAGAAATCATTTGTACACCGTTTGGAATCGATCTTGCCGTGAAATTTATTAAGGAAAAAAATTATCCGATGGCTATCACGTATCTTAACATAATTTTGAGCTCAAACGCATCGAATCAAGACGCTATAAAGTACAGAGGCATAGCTTACTGCCTTTCAAAGCAATATTCCCTTGCAATTCAAGATTTATCAACAGCATTAGCAATGAACGAAACAGATGAGATACTTCGATATAGAGCAAATGCATATGCGATGTCGAAAAATTACTTTTTAGCAATCCAAGATTTATCCTACGTAATACAATATAATTCTACAGATTATGAGTCGATTGCTACACGTGCAACCCTTCAAATGTGGCGTGGGTACTTCACTGCAGCACTTACTGACTTCAAATTGATTCCACAACAAGAATATAATTCATTTACTTGGTTATCATACGCAGAAGCACTTTTTGCAGTCGGGAAAGTCAAATTGGCCTCCGAATACATCAAATATGTTGAAAAAACGAACAATAAACGAGCTTTTCTCGAATATTTAATTTGTAGACAGAAAGGTGACTTAAATGGAGCTATAAACGCTATGCTGCAGATAACAGTGTCTACTGCTAATGCTAGAATACTCCAAATCACAGCCGGTTTGTTCTTCGCAAATGGAGATTTGAAAAGTGCCATCGGAGCATACAAAGTAGCCCTTAAATTTGTTTCCAATCCTATTGAATATCTTCGTAGCCAAGCAATCTGCTTCTTTTGTGCCATGAATTTCGAAAAAGCCTTAGAAACATGCGAAATTATTACGAAACGTCTGAATGAGAATCAAATCAACGTTGATTTATGCACTGATGATAATGAGAACCCCATTGATACCCCTCTCATTAAGTTTATTTCAAGAAATGACCCACAAAAAATTAATGAACTCGCAGAACAGACAGTTAGCTGGATTAGAGCCATAATATATCACGTGAAGGACTCGATAGAGTCAATTACGCCAACATCTTTGATCCACGCTCCTAATTCTCTTTCAGAAAATATTAAATTTGAAACTAACCGCATGGAAGCACTCAAACAGATTGCAGAAGAAGCGGACAAAATCGGAAAGAACGTTTTTGGCCTCCCGCGAGACAGATTGCCCGCAAAACGTCTAATTCGCGCGATGGGGCTTTCAGCCCTTTATCTTGGCGCCTCATTACGACGTGAAATCACATCTGCCTCGAAGTGTTCCTGGAAGGATCCATTCGATGTAGTCCTTGCCATTCTAAATTTGGCAGATCCGAATAATCTTTCAACATGGTGCGACTGTTTAGTGATATTGGGCCATGCGTTCAATGCTCCCAAGTACGAAGTACACCGCGGCGAATGGCTGAACCCGAGACTCAAAGACCGTTTCCAAGATATCATGAAAAAGTTCAAAACCAAATACGGTTTCAAGCTTTCCAAAGAAGGAGACAACATTGTGGGCTTTGACCAACCGTACTACGTAGTGGAAGGAACAATTCCTGAACACGACAACATACCAAAGCCTTCAATTATTTTGGAACCAAAGGTTTTCGGTTTTGACATTTATTTGACACCAAAAAGTGACACACAAAGTGCCTGGCAAACCGCCGTTGTATTTGATGAGTGTTGGAAGAAGTTAATAAACGGAGATAACCCAATGAATGCACTTTCCAAGATGATTCTGTTGATTTGGCTGACAAATCAATTCACTTTTTACCAGAATGAGATTGGCCACATTCTTTTGCACGCGTACTGCATTGCAGCACAGGGAAAGTACTGCGACCCATTCGGAAATGACAACAAGGAGCCGTTCGTTGACATGCTTGTGGAGCCGGCATTTCCGCAATTCTTTGAAAGAGTTAAATTCGTGTACAACTCATTTGCAAGAGGAGATAAAAGTGTTCAGATGAGTACAATCAGCTTTTTCGACTCGGAAATAAGTGTTGGAGACTTATTGACAATGCTCAGCTTATAGAATTGTTATTTTATTATTTATTTTTGTTTGTTTTATATATATATATTGAATGTTATTTGTAAATAATATTATCTCTCATATATTTATTACTGTTTTTTCACTTGTTATTTCTGTTATACATATGCTTGTGTTCTGCGTTTGCTATCTCGCATATATTTTTCTGTTTTTGAGTTTGTTTTCTCTGTTATTCTCAGTAATAATTTCCTAATTCAAACATATTGGAAATTCAACTTATAAAGATGATTTCAGAAATTATGGGAGCAGTGATGTCATTAAAAACTGATCTTAAGCATCAAAATTGAAAACTGTGCCATTGAGGTGTAATTTCACTCATAATTTAAGGTTCAATATGCATGGTTTTTAAATTTCATTTTTCCTGGAGACAAATTTGTTTTCGCTCGGTGTGAATATAATGATTACATATATGAGTCCATATGGATACATGTTGCTATAAGAAATTCCCTATAAATCTTTTTAGATGGTGAGATAGAAGTACTTAAACTATCCCATTGTCAGAGAGCAATCTCAAAAATGCGAAGGTATTCACATTGAACATGAGGACTTTGCTGCAATCACTGTATGATTAATATACGTATCATTGAATTCTTAATATATTAATCGAAGTGGGTGAATTTTTTTCAAAATCTGGACGATAGAAAAAAACTAAAAAAAATGAAAGCATCTGTTTCTAGGAGAGATGTTTATAAAAAGACAGCAGTTGAAGAAGGTTGGCGCGCACGTTCTGCGTACAAACTTATTCAAGTTGAATCAGAAATGCATTTCCTTAAAGATTCAACAAGAGTCGTCGATTTATGCTCTGCTCCTGGATCATGGTCACAAGTTTGTGCTAAGCTCATGCCAGAAACTGATGCTCGAAAGATTATTTCTATTGATCTCCGTAGAATTGTTCCAATAGATGGAGTAACTGAGCTCAGAGGCGATATTACAGATGTAAAAACAGCAGAAAATGTGATAAGTCTTCTAGATGGAAACAAAGCCGATGCAGTTTTAGCTGATGGCGCTCCAGATACGATTATTAGAATTGAATTTGACGAATACGTTCAACATAACATAGTTAAAGCATCGCTAACTATTGCAACAATGGTTTTACGTGAGGGAGGTACATTTGTTTCTAAAATTTTTAGAACAAAATCTTTACCGAAATTATTAGCAATTTTTGGTTGCTTCTTCAGTAAAATTACGATGTGCAAACCTCGTGCTTGTAGATTATCATCTGTTGAGTCATTTATTGTTTGCCAAGGATTCAAATTGCCAGATGGATATACTCCGACACTTTGTACAGATGATTTACCAACTGGACCAGTTCCAGAGGTTCCTTTTAGAATGTGTGGAGATGTAGATGGCTTAGACTCCGAAAGGACGTATCCTCTCTCAAATGATCAAATAGAACAAGAAATAGAGTAGTTTTTAGTAATATATTAGTAAAAGTATTTGTATTTTTTACATGAACATAATATGCCGTTTTCGGTTGGGAGTAATATCACTCTTAAATTCATTTTTCAATTGAAAATGAAGATGTTTCATGTCAAAGTAAATTTAACGCTAAATGTAAGTAACCGAAATAATAATATTACAAACAATAGTATAGATACGGTCCGTTGAGGACCGAGTTTCGGATTAAAAATTGATTTGGAAATTTTTCAACATTGGTCCATATCTGATAAAGAAAGATCATCGAATTCGTCTAAAAGTAAGATATTTAAAGGATCACCTGATATTCCTGTAGTATGGCTCGGAAGAATAATATCATTATCTTGGACTGGAGGTGGAATCGTGGTAGGTGGTGTGTTTATGACCTCAGGAGTGGGCGGAACGCTCTTCTTTTGCTTTTTCTTTGTTGCTTGTGAAGATTCGTCCACCTCCCTACACATTTTTTTATTTTCAGAAAAAAAAAACTCGGATTTGTTGTGAATGAAGTTCTGTAACTTGAAAGACCATAACAAAAATGTTCCTTATGATTGAATATGTAAATTAAGGTTGTTAATTAAAAGTTCCGAAAAACATTTTCAATTTCAGATTTTTCCCACAGTTGGGCTGAGAAAAAAAATTGGCTCATTCATCATCAACCTTTTCAGAATAAGTTTGCCTCGATGATATCACACCAAACCTTCAGTTCTTTTATCTTCAATATTTAATTTATTTAATTTTTCATTCCAATTAGTAAAATGAATGTGTATAATGATAGAAGTATAAATGCATTAGCTAATGGTAAAAATTAATCAGTTCATGAACTTTTTTAATAAATCATGACCTAAACATGAAAATGACAGTTAGTTTTCGAGAAAAATTCGTAAAGTAGCTATAAGTTCATTAGTTATGCTGAAACTTTTTCTCAATATTGAGATTAAAACAAAATACAACAAACAGAGTCTAGGATATGGCAACAATACATTCATCTCTTAGTTTAATAAATTTATAATAGTCCCTAGTAATTACAAAGTATGAAGCCAAATCATTTGAGAAATTCCACATTTAGATTCGGTTTCAGAGTATGTGATTAAGAATTTATATAAAAATATCTTAGCTATTGCAATATATAGTGCTTATCATTTATTGGGATAGTTGGTCTAATTGGTCAAAAAAAAAATTAATTGAATAACTTTGTTTGAAGAATTATAATAATGCAAGTAATAACAGCCAGTGGAGCAATCGTCGCTGCCAAATACGATGGTGGTATTCTCCTTGCATCTGATTTGTCTATTACATACGGCTCAATGTTTAGACATAACAATGTTTCACATTTCGTTGAAGTTGCTCCAAATATCATCATTGGAGCCTCCGGCGAATTCGCTGATTTTCAAACATTAATTGAAGTTATTAAATCTGTCATTCTTCAACAGCAATGCAAGCACAATGGAGAATATTTAACAGCCTCCGAAGTTCATAATTACATTAAGCGCTATATGTATCAGTGCCGTTCTAATATGAAGCCACTCAGCTGCAAGGTTATTGTCGCAGGTATTAATCCAGACGGTAGTAAGTTTTTAGCATGCACAGATCCATACGGTGCCTCCTGGGAATCAGACCATATCGGCACTGGTTTTGGTAAATACTTACAAGGCTTGCAAATTGCAGATGTCGTCAATGGAAGCTTCGACGACGTAAAGAAAGGTATCACCGAAGTATTTAGAGCTGTTAACGCTAGAAATACAACCGCTAATGGTAAAATCGAATTTATTACTGTCACTCCACAAGGTATCAACCATTTGGCCCCAGAACAGATCGATCCAAACTGGGAAGTTGTCGAAGGCACATGGGATCAGTAAAGCTTTTTTTGATTAAAAAAATTTATTATATGAAATTTTACTAACATGAACTACATAAATTAACATAATTAAAATTTTCTATTTATATGCTTCCAAATAAGAAGCAATTTCTTTCCTGTATTTCTTGACAACAGCACGAATATGTGTATCGTCCTTGAATCGTTCGTCTATTTCATCTAAAATAGATGATAATTCTTTGACATGATGCAAACTAAAGGATGAGACTACATTGGATGGCTCAGATGATAGGAAACTGTCACGGAATGAATCCCTAAAGATAATGGACTTCCTCCATTTCTTGATTGTCGAAGTTTTCTCGGCAATTCTGATTTCTGGAGGGAGAAGTGAGCCTCTGTGCTTACTTGGATTCATTTCTTTCTCTAAACTATCATTAACATAAGGTCCTTCCAAGATATCATTGAAAGGATTCAATGTAAGCACTCTATCCATCAAATAAATCAACAACTCTTTAAATTTTGTTGATTTCTCAAGTAATTTTTCTCGGGAACCGCTAAAGTCAAAAGCTAAGTCCTGTGCTTTAAGGGCAATTTTGAATTTTCTATTAATATATTTAAGGGTATTAGGTAAGACACATACTACTTCGTATTGATCAAGGTCGTCTAGTCTCCAATCAAAATCGCAAACCGATATAATGAAGTTTCCTTGGAATTTCAAAGGAGAAATTATGCAAAGGGCTGCAAATGCTGCTTTCATAAGAAGATCTGGTGTATCTGCAACAACTAATAATCCTGTACCTTTAAGAAGGGCTTTCCATGCACTGTTAACTGTATTGAAATTTTCAAAGTATAAATATGGATCATAATCTGAAAAAAAGTCTGCCGTTGTAGATAAATACTCGTACATTGATTTAATGTCTACCTCTTGTAGTCTTTCCATTTGGAAATTCACCCATGTCGGGAGTGTATTTGTCATAACATCAAACATTTCTTCAGCAGTCATCTCATGTTCTGATCCTTTGAAGTTTTGTGACATTTCAAGATAAAATATTTCATAGAGCTTAGGATAATGATAAGTTGTGATGATGGAAATAGAATAGTATTCATCTTTCAGCTTAAATGAGTATGCGAATGCAATTCTTGTATCAAGAGTGTAGCAGAATATTAATTCTGTCTTGCATTTCACTAATGAATTCGTCATAATTGTTTCAATTTGAGGATCTGTATGAATTTCATCTGGAAAGAACTTAACTGGGATGCAAGACTTTGCTGATGTGACCTTGAGAAGGATAGCCGCATCAATGTATGATGATTGCATTATCCCTTCAATTCAATTTTTTTATCGTTTTTCATAATCGTTTTCTGTAAAACTTAATCAAAATTTCTTCATTAATGATCATGTTGTGTTTTCGGCTTTTCAGATTTAGTATCAGAAAAAATTGCCAAAGTTAACAAAAACAAAACCTATTAAATTCTTTTTGTATTTAGCTTGTTTAAGTGCTATTTCCAATTAAATTCAAAGGAAATTTTACAAAATGATTTCATTTCAAAAAAAATCTCATTTTGAGGGAAGGATTCATGAGCATGGCTTTAAGCTATGCAATTCATGTTATTTTGTTGTAGAGGAATCATAAGATCTATGAAAATATTATAATAATCAATTTTATTTTTAAAATAACAAAAAAAAATAACAAATTGTAATAATGCATGAAATTAGTCACTACTTTCGCATGAAACTATCCTCCATTGAGGAGTATTTTGTGAGTATTTGGCGAGAATTATATTTTGATTGTTGTAATCGGATTTCTTTTCTAAAGACATGCAAAGGCCATTTTGAGATCTTATTGTTTTATCTTCATTTAAAAACCATTCTTGATTTGCGCAGCCATTAATTTCCCAAAGTCCAACTTGGGCTCCTTCTGTAGCGCCACCTAAAGCATCTAAAACTTTGCCTGACTTTTTATGAATAATCAAATTATTCGTGATAATAAATTTGAAATTTGGGTCGTTATAATACTGAACCACCTGTAACGTCTTTGTTTCGGGATTAATCATCAAAGCGTGCATTTTGTCTACTTTCGCTGATGCAAGAGATATATAGCAATCCATTTACGAAATCTCTTTTTCGCGATATCGTTCTGAAAAGTGACAATAAATCATAATTATCTTTCCAAATCATATCTGGAGTGATCCATCATGGTTATAGAAAGTACACTTTCATCCCATGGTGTTACCTACAGCATTTTCATACTTTGGTAATACATTTATTGAATTTTCAAAGTCATTTAGAGAACAATTAATACATAAATGAATTACACAGGATATGATGTATAATTTTGCTATGAAAATTTTCAAAAAGGTACTTTTCCAAGGCTAAAAATTGAAAATTTTTATTTTTTTCTGGCTTAGAGTCAGAATTGATATATATAGTTCATATGTAAAACTACTCAATTTTAATTGTCCACTTTGCTTCTGAAATTTGGAACGTCATTGCTTCGTAATTTTTTAATAAGCTAACAAAACATTTAAAGTATCCATGAAACAATGGATGTATCGTTGTTTTTCGTTTCAGTTATGGGTCATTAAAATTTATGTGTATAATCAATACACAAGAATGAAAAATTCAATTAACTTTTGGGATTATGATAAATTGATCAAGAATTGATAAACTCTTGATAGGTCTTCCTGTAGTTTACGTGTAAGTTGTTTCTGAGTAATAAAAATTATTTTGGTTTGAAGTAATTCATAATTGAACCAATAATACTTGTGCTTTGTGGCTTCATCATGTCCTCTAACTCTTTCATTTCATCAGGATCAGCTTGTTTTGGTAATTCTGGTTCATTCAATTTCAATTGTGATTCAATCATCGCAAGTTCTTTATTTTTGGTTTCAATTTCTGCTATTTTGTTGCTTAGTATCTTGATTAATGAATTTATCTCTTCTAATTGAACTAGAGAATGAATTTCATGTGTATTTTCAAAAGAATTCTGTGTTTTAGGGATATTTTTCATGGCTTCTTGGCTATTATTATTATAATACTGGAGAAAATTATATGCTTGGAAAGTTTGACTGAAGGGTTGAGAAATCATTTTTGTCACTTTTTTGATCTTCAATGAAAATGAAAAATCATGATATCTTCATGGATTAAAGATTGACTACCCTGTCAAGAAGCTCTCATAATCTTAATTACTCATTAAGTTTAGGAGACACGAAATTGAAACGTAATCATGTTCAGTTTTGTTGAATCAAACCGATTTGATGCATTTATTGGTGTTCCTATTGATCATAGAATGCTCCCAATTTATGAGAAAGATGATTGAAGAGAAATAAAAATGAGATATAGGACGATCTTCTAAAAGTGGAGCCAATAAGTACTGTGCCGACGAATGCTAAAGTGCTAGATCATAAAATCAATGAGGTTGTATTTAAATTAAGAACTAATATTTATTGTATTAAAAACAATCTATATTAATAGAATAACAGTGTAGGTTGACTTACCAGCTAAGATAAGTGGACCTTGATGAATTGTAGCAATGCTCCTTTAATGCTTTGACTGTTAATTCCGTAGCATCGAAAGAAGAAAATGGTTGGAATACCATTGGTTTCTTCTTCTGAGGCTTTGGAGATACAGGCATCGGTAGTTGATACATCTGTAGTTGTACGTTTGTTTGTATTTCATTCTTTATCTCTGGAGTAGAGAAGGATCTTTCCAAAGGCTCTGGTCTCTTCTTCTCGCTCCATGGATCCGGGTTATCGAAAGGTAAGATGTTCTCTGCTTGGTCATTCTCTATGAAGAATGAAGTGGAGCCAAGTCCGGCTGATGGTGTGTATGTGTCATTTGGATCTGCTATTGGTGATGATATGGCATCGAAGTCGAAGTAGATGTTATCACCGTTGAACATTCTGTTTGAAAAATGAAATAACACATTTTTTGGCGCAAAATCTCGACCGCATTGTATTTCTAATTTGAGAAGTTTACGACGATTTTGCGGGAACTGTATCGTTTTTATTTCACATTTGGCGGTATAGTTTTTATTCAAATTCTCTGTAAATTGATATTGTTGTTTAGAGCGCAATTAAGATATTTCGTGCGAATTACATGTATCCATTCAGAAAATCAAAATTAATGCAATACTCTATATTTGGACAGAGAGTTAGTATACCCATCCTATTTTGATAATGAAAACAAAAGCTTTAATTGTAAAAAATTCAAAATAGAAATCAATTTTTTGTGATTAGGTATTACAAGGTTTATGATCTGAATTCTTTTTATGTGTAGTATAATTATTGTATTACTTGATAAATAATGATATAATACACATAAAAATTCAAAACCAAAAAAATATTAAGTAATCACCTTATAAGTGATGAAAAACTCTTATACTTTAGATGTATGAATAAGGATCAAGCAATTAAAGGTAAAATACTGATCATTTTAGAAAAAATATGGATAATCATAATTGATAAAAGGTGTTATTTTATCATGTTGCTCATGTTAATGGAAGATTATGTTTTAAGTATAAAATTATGATCGTGTCAATATTTTTGATTGAACATGTCATATCACACTCGCGAGTGCCATTCAATTTTTGAATTGAGTGTGTAAAATAAAATTTTGTCATTATGAAAGATTATTGAACACATAACTTAATTTTAAATATTAGGTTTTCAATGCTTTCAATTTTGTGAAGGGCATATCATTGGCAAAACCGAAATGACATTAGTTAGAAATTTTTCATGGAATTTGAGCCTGGATTGCTTATAAATGACATTCTTTTTCTTGAATGTAACTTCTCGGGTGATGTTTCAATGCCTAATTTAGGTCAAACATCTCTGGAATCCTTAAATTTAAGTGATTGTTATCAAAAAAGTCAACAATCACAACAAGAACCTCAGCGCCGTAAGTTAAGATGGACAAAAGAAGAAGATCAAAAACTTTTAGAAGCAGTTAGTAAATATGGACCACATAATTGGGGTTTAATTTCTAAGCTTATTGGAACCCGCACTGGTAAGCAATGTCGTGAGCGATGGATAATTCATCATGATCCTTCTTATAATAGAGATGAATGGAGTAAAGAAGAAGATCAGCTTTTAATCGATCTTCAATCGAAATATGGAAACAAATGGTCAGTTATTGCCAAAAATATGAATAGCAGATCAACAACAAATATCAAGAATCGATTTAAGTTCCTTAATCATCATTCTCTCGGTATATTCCAGAAGATTTCCAATCCTCCACAAACTAAGACAGTGTTGGACTGTGAAACCGTTTCTAATGATTTGTGTGTAATTGGTAAGTCAATTGAAGATGATGAATTGGTTTCGGATAACTTTTGTTCAATAATTTATTGAACATGTTTATTTTGATTATTGCCATGAATAATGATAGTCATTTTATAACATTTCTTATTAAAGTTCTATTCTTTCATTATATCTTTGATTTTTCCATTACATTACGCTATAATGCATCATTTTGCTAATAATGTTGTTCCGTTAGGTATTAAATCACAACAACGATAAAATATAGATAACTGCATGATCATGATAAACTATTTGAATATTTGAATTTTTCTGGAAAAGAATGTGATACAAAAGGCATTGTCGTTCATGTAATTGGCTGTAAATACACTTCATCTTTAATTTACATCATAATTTAACGGGTAGATCCTTTCATAATATCTATATAATTTTATCTGATAAGAAATTTGAGAGGGAACAATATCTGACCATCTAAAATTTGGTAATTTGTTCATAAAGCGTACGTTTATTAAGAGTAATTCTCTTTCATGTTCGATTTCAATTCAACATGAGTTTAGAAATTGATAGATTTTGCTCTTTTCCTTGAGAAACATATGCCTTATATCGATGTAATTTTAAAGATAACGGATTTGCATTTACGAATATCCCGATGGAAAAAAAAATTATCAAGCATACGATTATTTTTGATTCAAATTCTGTTCGGCATTTGAATCAAAAATAGTCATTATTATGATAATTACACTTTCATCATATCTTTAACGGGCATCACGCCTGTATAAAAACGTAACAAAAGTGTAAATTTGATCTAAAATTTTTGATCGGAACCTTTTCTTCAAAATGAGTGCCTTAAATACCATATTTATAACCAATCTATCCACATATACAACAAGGCATCATAATGGCAAAAGGTTTATTAATGACCCTGGAGAGCCAATGGCTTCTAAATCCAATGTAAATTGGTTTTCAATATTTAAGTTTGCTTTCCAAAAAGATTATGTTGATCCAATGCCAACACGTAACATGACATACGATTTTAATACGAAAACCAATGCGACAAGAGCATGGTGGATCAATCATGCTACAATGTTATTCCAATTGGACGACAAATATATTATTACTGACCCTATTTTTGATGACCATGCAGCTCCATTCCCATGGATGATAAAACGAACATCACCAACCCCAATTACTATGGAACAACTTCCAAAGATTGATTATATACTTATTTCTCACGATCACTGGGATCATCTGAACTATTACAGTATCAAAACCTTAATGGGACTTAATCCAAACTGTACAATTATCGCTCCTCTTGGTGAAGGTCAATTAATCAGAAAATGGGGCTACAAAGTTATCATCATGGATTGGAGACAGCAAGTTAAGCTTGGCGACATCATTATTACATGCTTCCCAGCAAGACACATGGCAAACAGATATGGTCCTTTGACAATGGGAAGAGATCTTTGGGCCTCATTCTTAATAGAGTTCAAGAACGCCACAATTTACTTCACAGGAGATACAGCAATCGGTCCACACTTCAAAGAAGTCAGAGATTACGTTGGCCGACCAATTGATTTGTGTCCAATGCCAATTGGACCACAAGAACCAAATTCCCTTATGAGATTGGTTCATTTGGATCCTAAGCAAGCGGCTGATATGTCAAAAATCCTTCAAACAAGAGTTTCTTTCCCAATTCACTGGGGAACATTCCCTCTTGGAACAAAACCAGAAATTCCTGATATCATTGTACTTTCCCAGTATTGGAATGAGAAACAATCTGGTAAATTGATCGTTATTAAGAATGGAGGATATCTCGAGTACGTCAATGGTGAATTCAAGCTTGTTGATGAAACATCTCTTATCGAACAATCATATTTTGAACAACAATTTGTAGAATACGTTCAACCAAAGCTTCCGGAAGAATTATAAAAATATTTTACTTATGAATAAAAGTCTATATATCTTTCTTTAATTGTTTATCAATGATTCAGTTAGAACATGTCAAATATAGTTTTATAATAATTCTATTTTAGTATAATTTAATTAAATATTCTACTTCATATAATTACAACTATGAGTATCATGATAACTAATGAAAATATTAGTGTTCTCATAGAATTTTATGATATATACTCATCAATCCAAGGAAAATATTATTAATTTTCTTCAATTATAAGAGATTTGTATGATATTGACATAAAAATGGTCATTAGAATTATGTTTACCATCTCTAGTTCTTCAAAAAAAAATTCAAAATAATTCGAATGAATACCAAATTTATAGAAATTTTTATCAAATTCAAGTTTTTCTCAAAACTTTGGAATGAAAATCGAAAAATCTATTCGGCCATTAGGGATAAATTTTGATAATAAATGCAAATTTCTTATTAATTATTCAAAATACATGTTTCATTCATAAAAATTAATGAATAAAAGTGACAGATTTTATGAGAAAAACAGTATTACGCCCAAATGAAGAACACTTTGTTGTTTTGGAACCAAAAGATGTTGCACGTGCTTCTTTTGACGTAATTGATTTAATTAATAAACTAGGAGAAGATTCGTCGCGAACTCAAGGCTTGAAGCATATTATTACTACGTATTCATCATTTTCGAACTCTGATAATAATCGATTATACATTCTGTATGATGATGGTAATACTCGTCCTGTAGGTTTTATCAAAACAGGGTATAAACATCTTTATATTTTCGATGTTTACGGATTTCAACACGAAATGACACCACTCTGCCTTCTTGATTTCTTTGTTTGTAATGATGTTCAAAGACGTGGTTATGGTAAGAAAATGTACGATTACATGCTCAAATGCGAAAATGTTGAGCCTCAACAGATAGCTATTGACAGACCTTCTCCGTTATGCTTATCATTTATGAAAAAACATTTCGGACTCTCGGAATACGTTCCTCAAACTAATAATTTCGTAGTTTTTAATCAATACTTCGAAACAAAGGAGACTCCATCTTATCCAAAACCAAATATTTCAATGACACCTCAAAAACCAAAATATCATCCGGTTGATTTCTCAACATTGAACCAAAATAATAACCGTGTTTCAACTCCACAAAAACAGAGATATAATCCAATTACTTGGGAACCAATGTAACTTTTGTATAATTTTTTTTTATTTTACCATGCTATTCTTTAAACGCTTAACTATATTAATATATTCTTTTCATACTGGTGAATCTTTTATCAAATGTTCTAAGTAACTTCTATTAAAATTATGATCCATAAAATTTTTATTTCTATTTTTTATGTATATTTACTAAGCGAAACATCACAATTTTCTGGATTAAAACGAATTACTCATATGATAATGTCTAAATTCATAACATAACAAAATAATTTTTAATTTTTTAATAATATCAGTGACAAACAAATATTTTACATTTACATGAAAATTATATAACAAATTTTAATCGTAAAATGACAAATGACTTATTCTTCCGAATAATATTCTTCTAAAATTGTTGTTGCCTTATCACAGAATGCATCAAGATCAGCTACATCATCAAGAAATTCTTTTGCAACTTCCGCAAACTTCTCATTCTTTGAAAGAGATGGAGATAATTTTTCAATTACTACTAAAGCTTCAGAAATTCCTTTAGGATAGGCTGAATCCATGTTAGTTATTATTTCGTAAATATGATCTGTGTATGGAAGAATTTCAGAAGCTGTTCTTCTAGAGAAAATAATTAATTCAACCGAAATTATTTCAGTAATCATAGAAAAATCAGCATTTTCCATAAGTGCTTGGCATGATCCAATACAATCTTTCAAATTTGGTGGCGGAGTCGAGTCTAAATTGTAAAGTAACTGAAGAACTTGAAAAGCTTCGATCAAACATGACTTTTCCGATCCAGAAAAGCCAAATCTCTCCAAAATGCACTGCCAGATTGGATCAGGATTTATAAATTCATTGACAGTTGGAAACATGCAGTCATTTTGAAGCATTACTTGCATTAGCTTGAAGAATGATATATAAGACATCTCATCTATAAATAATTTCTGTGTAAATTTGTTCCATATTTCAAGATATATTTTTTGGGAATTAAATATCTCGAAATATTCTTGTGAAAGTGCAGTTAAACGATAAATGGCACGCAAACCAAATCCTGCAAGCTGCGGATAATCCGTAGATAACCAGAATGTCTCAGCTAAATCTATTTTTTGATCTCGAGGAAAAGAAAGGGGCGTCATAGGAGTTCCTTGTATCCAGTATTCCACATTGACAAAGAATTCGAAAGCTTCCTTGAGAACTTCAATTTCATAAGATGTAATTCCGATTTGCATTGAATCTGTGAGGACCCAGCAAATAATATCGTAAATAGTCGATAAAAGATTGAAAGATAGAGCCTGTAAACAAAATTCATGGCTTTTTGCGCAGCCTGTGTGTAAAAGAAAGAGACCTTGCTTAATAAAGTATTTACTGTACTCATCTTTCTTGTGCTCTCTGAAAGTCAATAGAACAGTGATCGTATAGAAGAAATTTGATAGTGTCAGCTGTGGAACAAGTTCAGGATGTCGGTCAATAACTTTAGACATGAATTCTAGAGATACTTTTGTAAGATCCTTACTTCTTTCTTGCATTATGCACTCTTTCATGACTGTGAACAATGGCGAGTCTATTAAAACGTTTAGATCAGGTTCTTTTGCATCAAACCAAACAATTATTGTTTCAATAAGAGGAACAATCTTGCCAAACCTTATATTATCTGCTTGCTTTTGTAAATTAATATCTGCCCTTTCCTCGTCTGTTAATCCATCATTCTGTTTTAATTCGCAAATCTGATCAATAATACTCTTCCATTGTTCTATATCATGCTCTTCTAGAACATTTATATCTTTTGGTTCGTTATCTATGATAGAGTCAGTTTTATAAACATTCATTTTTTTATTTTTTACAAATGAATAAAAATTTGATAAAAAATTTATATGGAAAATTGTAAATTTCTCAATTTCCAGATAATTTGGATTCGATGTCAATGATTAAATTAAAAATTCATGGTAAATAAGAAATAATCGTTCTGGAGAATGTCACTTTTTTAAAATTAGAAATGGCGGAAGTTCTTACTGCAGCAGCTGACTTAGCCGGCCCACAGAATGATGGATGTTTCACATTAACATATACAGAACGACTTATTGGCTTTGGAATTACCGGATTATGCGGTTTAGTCGCTGGAATTTTATCGATTGTTGCAGTTTTCATTCTAAATATGCGTAAATTCGTCGTTTTATTTACTCTTTCAAGTATCCTTTATCTAGTTTCTCTTTGTTTACTTATTGGATTCAAGAGAATTTGTGGCTCATTTACAGATCCAAAACGCATTTACTCAGCAGTAGGATTACTTGCAGGTACTCTAATTACACTCTATTTCGGATTTGTTAAAAAATGGATCATATTATCACTCGTTGGCTTTGTTATTGAATTCTTGTCATTTGTATATTATGCATTGACGTTCATACCAGGTGGTGAAAAGATTTTCCATTTCCTTTTGTTTTAAAATAAATGTTACTTTATCAGTTTCTGTTTTCATTTTATCTCCTGTTTATAAAATATATACCAATACTTATCATTTATCAACCATTTCTCTTAACATAGCTCATGAAATATTGTGTGAATTTTTATCTTTTTATATTTTCATAAGTTATTCATTATATAATCCTCATATGAATCAATGATCATAACGATACTCATTAAATTTAGCTTGTATATTTAGATGTAAAGAATTTTTATTTTATATGTTTTGTATTTTATTATATCATGTTATGGAATAGAAAATATACAGTTTAAAGGTTAAAGCCGCCGTGTTCGAAGTTAATTCCAAGGTGCTGCTTTTCAGTAAATTGACGAGAAACAGTCTTATAAGTGGCTGGACGCTCGTATTCTGACATATCCATGGCACCATAGTCATTGTTTGTTGTTCTGTAGATTGGATGCTCTTCACGGAAAGTTCCTTTTGATGTTAATGTTGAAAAGCGATCAGGGACTTGTCCTTCAGCAGCAAGTTTCTCTTGAACACGCTGCTCAATTCTGGCTAAGTATGTTTCGACATCTTCATCGGGTTTTTGACCTGGTAATCTCTGCTGACTCATAAAAATAAATACGTTTTAAAAAAACAGGGGGTAAAAGTTTGAATCCCAATAATTCATTATTGGAGAAGAGGAAAAAGAGCATTTATCAGAAAACATCACAGAGTTTAATACGGGCAATTATCAATATTGCTGTTTCTACCCATATACTTTGCATACATGTATGATTTCAATGAAAATATCGAAATTTGATATAATAATAGTTTTATTAAAAGATAGTTGAAATCAATATTATTCTTGATATGCTCGGAGACACTAATAAAATGAATTGCAATAGATATTTGGTTTATTATACATAAATTATTAAACAAAATGTTTTTTTTTCTATGGTGAACAATAGTATGTTCAATAGTACTAAAATTATAAGAAATCCTATACTCTAAGAGGCTGATCGTCTGAACTTGTTTTGGTATTTTTCTTCGATTTCCTATCTTTTTTCCTATCCATTTTGAACCCAAAAACACATGGTACAAATGCTACTGGAAGTCCTCTAGGCGTTACCGTTCTGAATTTTTGCTTTAATAAGTGAACATATGTGGGGCCAAAGTAAGCACCATCAATATTAGCGATGGCTGGATTAGTTACATCGTATACATCTTGACAATTAGGACAGAATAACTTAACATGTAATTCATTTGGGATTTCAGATAATCCGTAAGGCAAGCATATACATCCTTTGCACAAGTATCTTGGGCACATTGGGTAGGTCTTTGCACGCCATTTCGCTACTATTTTCTCACAGCCTTCATATGTACATATGAAGCGTTGATGGGCAAGACCATAGAGGTGTATTGCAGAAACAATATCTACTGGATTATAGACATCTTCGTGGAAAGAAGTCTTTTTAATGATTGAAAGCGCTGCTTGATAATTTTCTACATCCTTCTTTAAGCCATAAAAGTTGAATGAATCATTAAGAAATTCGGAGCTTATCTTAATCATGAAATGATACGCTGGATGTGTGATAAGCCATTCTGCAAACGATGGTGCCATTTTTTCTGTTTTTCAAAAAATTTTTGTATTGTGTTTTCCTTACAATTTAAATTTTCGCTATAATTCATGACTGTAATGCAAAATAATTATTCCGATCATTTGTATATCCTGATTATCATGATTTCACAGCGTAAAATGAGGTTGTTGGAATGTAAAAAAATATAATTATTTGTAAAATCATTGTTATAATTTAAATGAAGAAGTAATTTAAAACGATTTTATTTATGATCAAATTTTATATATTTTTTTGGATCAAATCTATTTTAAGGATACCCTTACGTGTCAGATTTTTTGCGCATACGAAGAAGTCATGCTAGACATGAGCTATAAACCTGAAATTTTAGCAACATATTTAAAACTTTTTAAACTACAATACACTTTAATACTCAAGAACAAAAATATTCTTTTTAGAAATTACATAATTATTTTATGTGAAATCTATATAAAAACATATTTTGCGAGCGTAACTTTTTTCTTTATAAGCACCTTATATGACTGATAAACTGTGAAGGCACATAATTGTTAATTCATAGAGTTGATATGTTTCCAAAATTGAGAGGAAATTTGAAAATTGAATACCCTTTCAATTCAATTTTCAAAAGATATCAGCTCCTTCAATAATTGAAGGACGATTTTGATCATTTGCTCTTAAAACAAGTATGCCATGGAGAAAAAAGTTACGCTCGCAAATCTGAAATATAACTATCATATAAAAAAATTAAATTTCTAATTTTTTACTCTATAGATATTATTGGCCACTTGTGTAATGCATAAAAGTTTATGTCATATGCATACATTTGGAAGTATGGGAGACGAGGGAAATTACTTCTATGAGGCACTAGGATTTTTAAAAATTTCTCTATCGGACTCACCATTCAATTTCTCGAAAATTAAAAAAATCAATAATAGCTAAAATGTATTATGCATAACAAATTTTAATGTTACACGGTATTTTTTGAACTTCATGACATGAATTTTCTTTATATTATTTTTTTTTTGGATTTTCTATGATTTATGCGATAGGCTGGAACAACATTGTAAGTGCAATGATATCATTTATAGAGAAATCTAAAACTTCAGCATTCAGAACTCGCAACCACAAAAATATTCATTTGCTAAGTAAGTAAAGTTGATTAAGTTCGACACTTAGCTTTTATACGTAAAACCAAGTGTGTATTGTTATTTCTTGTTAAATTATTGAGAAAAAAATAAATTGTAAGAGAAACGATACTGATTATTGAAATAATATTGAGAGTAGCTGCAGATTTCTTCATTAACATGCCGGAAATTTGTTAATCTTGGTTTTCTATCATAAAATCTGTCGAAGAATCTAAAAACGGAGATATGAAATAGAGATCATGTAAATCTAGAGTATCCTGTCAGAAAAATAGACTAAGCATGTAACCCTTTTTTGGTCATAAACACTTTTTACCACTTAGTCATACAGATGATCATTCAATTTAAACGAGCACTTTTTGTCAGAATTTATTCTTTTACAAAGACAGAAGATTTTAGTATTATTTAATATTAGTGCTGTAGCAAAATTCAAAAAACGGTGAAAATTCAGTGAATTTGTGAATTCACATTTTTTTTTCGACATTTTTCTTGATATATCCATGCACATTAAGAACACAGCTTTGATACGCTTAAAAAAGCATATTTCATATGAAATTGTTAAAGAAATAAACAATTTATATAAAAATTGCACTTATGGGCAGTTTAGATATATAATTTATATATAACATATATACAAATCCATAGACAAAGTGCAATAACTACAATGTTGTAGAAAATTACAGCAGAAATACTGACTTTTTGAAGGATAATAAGAATTCTTCTAAATGTTGTATTTTTATAATTTGATTGATTTTTTTTACTATTTCATTAATCTTTTATGAATAATAATTATTTTTAATATATGTGCTATTAAAATTTCAAATTTTGACTAATATATCTAAGTTATCTGAACGAAACATTTAGAAAATATCATACTTACATTGAAATAGCAAGTAGAGCATATTAATAGCAAGTTTCTTGGCTTTATATCTATCATCTATTGTTGTTTGATCAAACAAAATTCACTCTATTATATGGTGTCAATTAATTAAAACAATTTTTAATAGTTATTTATTTAGTGCGAATAAGTGCAAACTCATAAATGAATAACTTAATAGTAGAAATGAATTATCTGATATAAATCTCACATTTTGTCCATCAGAAATACTTTAATTGCATACGCATAACTATTAGTAATACGTCTGGAGTGTCAATTAATAACAATCCCACAACAAGTAAAATTCAGATTTTTATTAAACTTATTTTTTCCTAAAAGTTTTCTCAAATTACTATATATACATATGTGGATAAAATAATAGTAATATTGTAAAAAATTAGATAATTTTTTTTATTTGAGAACCTCTCAAAAGTTCATTCAATTTATCAATTGTTTCAGTTTGATGTATATTCATTTCTGGAGCCTAAAACTTTAGCAATCATGACAATATCATATTCTCTTTCTAACTACGCAATGTAAGGGTATCCTTAATAGAATTTATATACTATTCATTAGGGCTGTACAAGATTTAAAAAAACATTGCCGGGTTACCGTAGAGGCCTAAAAAAATCGCGCCTCGGCGGCAAGCCGCCTCGGCATTAAGAATGCGCATCTAAATTTTTATATGTCCTTCTTTCTTTTATTTTTCCCTTCCCTTTCTTTTCTTTTTCTTTTTTTCCCCTCCTCTTGCTCTCATTTACCTTTTTTTTCCTTTTCTCATCATTTTTCAAAATTTAAAATTTTTATCAAAAATCTTGCCTATAAAAGCAGACTATGGAACCTTTTAATGCCTCTTAATCAATATTATACAGCATAAAGCATATTAAATGAAAGTAATTACGTATAAATTTATTTTATTATCTTATTTATTAATTCTTTAGCATGTATTGTTTAATATTAACTTTTCTGTACATTAAATATGATATCTCCAAAGTATGAATGCCTTGTAACGAAACGAAAACTTAATTTTATGTTGAATATTTGTCACAAACATTAGATTATTAAAATATATGTTGGATATCCCTTAGTATGAGACTTCATGACTCTTGTAGTCTAACGTGAGCTTTGGATTGCAAGCTCTGTGGTTAACGAACATAAATTAATTGTAAAGTTTTCAAAATTTTTCATCGTTTCTATCAGCATCTATTTTTCCTTTAAAATAATATATTTGTATGAATACAATATTTAGTAATTTTTTTATTTCCCATAATTTCATTCAAAATTTCAGAAAAAATTAATTTCTATTCAATATTATTTCAGCTTCAAAACACTTCATTCTTATAGATGTTGATTCACTAAAGTGTGATACTCAATGTCTTATTTCAATGAAAATTGTTCTGCAAATTTATTTCACTTTTGACCTCACTTTTTCCGTAATTCAATTTTTTACTTTTAATATTTTAGATCTTCATAATATCATTTGAAAAATTAACCATATAAAAAAATCAAGTTAACAATTCACTTTTTCCGTAATTCAAAAATCAAAAATATAAATAATATATCTTTTTATCAAATATTATTATTATATTCTATGAAAAATGAGGTCCGGAAATTTTGCGGATTCCCGTAACTCAATTTTACGGAAAAAGTGCAGTAAACTATTCAAAATACGGAAAAATTGGTGTAAACTAATGATTTTACGGTAAAATCACGGAAAGTCCCGGAAGAATATATGTGCCTATATGAAATTATACAAAAATGAATCAAACGCATTTTAAAAGATTGTTCTTGTATTATAAATGCTATTCGCAGATTTATTAGTTGAAGAAAATTACCAAATTTTTGCCGATTTACAAAAAATGATTTACAAAGCATATTTTTATAAGGCTTTAAAAATCTTTAAAATGTGACCGGTGACGGAAATCCATGGTAACCAACCGCGGTTCCCGTTTGGAATGCCATACTATTCATCTATTAGTAAACACTACCGTATATTATTTTTTAAGCTATCTTATTTTTTGAAATTTTATTCAAATCTTTGGTCGCAAGAAGAATTGCATGATAAATAAAAACATTTAATCAAAGTCAATTTTATTTTTCATATTCAAATGGACTGAGTGTTAACATTTAACATTTTTTGCTAATTGTCGTCAAAAATTAGGCGTAAAGCAAAAATTGATATTTCATATGGTTTTATGATAGATAAGCATTATATTCCCACTCATTATATTCGTAAATTTTGAGGTTTATCCTTCGCTTTTAAGATCATTGAATTTGATTTTTATATAAAATAGTTATATATTAGAAAATAATATGAGTTTATGTGATATTATTTTTCAGAAGATTTCATTCTATATGCCTATGAAAAGTACTCTCAAAACTAACTTTTTCCTAATTATAATTAAATCTAGAATATTGTATTATGCTTAGTATTATTTCATTTTTCTCATTCAATTTAGAATTTACAAATGTCAAAAAATTGAGAGCTGCCACTTTTGATGAATTTCTGTTTATTACAATATTTTGTATCATATTTGATGATTTTTTTACAAGCAAATATAAATCAGTCCATTCTTTTTTCGTTATCCATGTATCTTTTAACGTCGTAATTATGGAATTTAAAAATTTTAGATTTTCTTCTTGTTCTTCTATTTTTTCGGAAGAAAAATTATTTTCGATATAATTTAATAGAAAAATTAGTTGATGTATGTTTATTAAGCCTGAGTCAATCATATTTTCAAGTTTTTTTATCTGAGTTTCTACTATTTGGGAAACTTCCATTATAAGTGTTTTATAATTTTATTGAATTTTTTCAATCATTTTTTAATAATTCACTAGGGATGCGCTAATTACGCCATTTGACCGGGCGTACATTTTTTTTGTTCGCCCAAAAATTTCGCCATTTGAGAAATTCAAAAATTAAAAATAAAATTTTAATCTTGATTTTTTTATTTTCGTGATTTTTTTGGAACTTACATAAGCAATTAAATACATTTTTTTAAGCACT